TACCCCTACCCCTTACCCCTCCCTCCCCTCCCTCCCTCCCCTCCCCTCCCCTCCCTCCCCTCCCTCCCTCCCTCGACATTCTCGCTCCTCATCATCTCATCTCACCCCTTGATGGTCACCAGGCTCTCGCCCTTCTCCTCCTCCCCGGGCTTGGGCGGGTGGATCTGAACCTTGGCGTGAGACTTTCCTGTGATGATCTTGATGTTGACTCCTCCCTTGCCGATGATGGCCCCCACCCGCCCTGTCGGCACCTTGAGCTGGATCTCTCTCGTAGCCTTCTTGGGCCCCTTCCTCTCCACAGCCTCCGCCACCAGCCTGTCCCCCACGTACGCCCAGCGGTTCTCAATACGGTCGTTCTTTCCTTTCCCCTCCTCCGTCTTGGTCGTCTCCTGCGCCCCTGCCTTGCGCCGCATCTCCTCCTGCCTCGCGCGCTCCTTGTCGATCTCCTGCTGCCTCGCCGCTTCCTCCATCGCTCGCTGCTTCCGCTCCTGGTCCATGAAGTATCGCTCGCGCTCCGCAGGGTCCAAAGAGTTGAGCCAGTCCTCGTGCTCTTTCTTCTTGCGCTCGCGCTCCTTCTCCATCTCCTCCTGTGCTTTCTTCCTCTGCTCCAGCTCCTTCTTGATCCTCGCGTCGCGATCAGCGGCGCTCTCCACGGGCTTCGCTGGCTTGTCGGAGAGGAAGTCGTCGAGGTCATCCTCCTCCTCCTCTTCCTCGAACTGATCGACAAGTTAGATGCCTCACGCGCTCTTGCTTCACGTCTCACCTCCTCCGCATGGCTTTGCTCCATGTACTGCTGCAGGTCATCCTCATCTGCCATCTCCCCCTGCACCCCAGCAGTGAGATGAGCTAAGAGGACGAGAAGGAATGTCGCGACGAGAGGATCAAACCAAGCAAGAGCGAGAGAGGAGAGGGGGAGAGGGGAGGGAGAGAGGTGGTAGGGCCGAGTGAAAGGCAGTGCAAGATACCTCGAAGTCGTTGTCCTCCTCTACCTTGACGCCCTCCATCTTTGAGCTGAGCTCCTCCTCTGCGAGAACTTTACAACAATGGCGTGTTAAGTACTACACGCACCTTCATTCGGCGACGGCGAAGCTTTCTTGCCGGGAGTGGGAGGATGAGTGGGGTTAGGGGAGGCAGGAGGTTTCTTGGCAGCAGGGGCAGGAGGCGGAGCCATGCCAAACTTTTGCAGAGCCGCAAGACGGGCTGCTTCTTTCTGAGCTTCCGTCATGCCTCCTCCTCCTCCTCCTCCTCCTCCTCCCTTGCCCTTCTTCTTCTTGTTATTCTTTCCTCCTCCTCCTCCTCCTCCTCCTCCGCTCTTCACTTCAGTGGCAACTGGCTCCGGCTCCGGCTCCGGCGTCTCCTCTTCTGCCTGAACTTCTTCCTCTTCGTCCTCGTCCTCATCCTCGTCGTCCTGACAACAAGCATCAGGAAATCGCTTTCCTCCCCTATCCTCCCACCTGCTTCGATTTCTTCTTCTTCTTCCCCCTTCCGCTCTCGCGCTCCTTCTGAAGGTGAGCGAGGAGCTCTTTGATAGGAGCACGGCCCTTCTCAAGGATCTTCCTCGCCTTGCTGTCCTTGAGTGGATTCTCGTCCAGGTTCAGGTGCAGCAGGACCTTCTCAGAGAAGTCGCTCATCTCCACTGGCAGCTCCTTGATCTTGTTGTTGGACAAGTTCAGTGACGTCAGCGCTCCCAGCCGCCCGATCTTCTCGTCCAGATCGTCGATCTCGTTGTAGCTCGCGCTCAGAGTCGCCAGCCTCGTCAGCTTCTTGTACGCAAGAGGAGACAGACTATCGATCTTGTTCTGGTCGAGCTTGAGGGTGACCAGGTTGTGCAGGGCGGAGAGGGGAGCGATGCTCGTGATGGAGTTGCGGCAAGCGTCGAAGACTTCCAGCATTTGCAGCGACTCGATGCCAGCAGGGAGCTCGTTTACGTTGTTGTCAGTGAACTCCAGGTTCTTGAGACTGACCAGCCGCTCGATCTCAGGTGGCAGGCGCGTCAAGGAGTTGTGGCTGACGATGAGGGTTGTGAGGTTCTTCAGCTTCGCTAAGTCAGACGGCAGCTCAGTGAGCGACTTGGCCGGCATGCGGAGCTTGAGGTTGTTGATGTGCCTGCACTGCCACAGCAACGGGTCAATGTCTGTCTCCTTTCCCTGCTGCTTCAGGCACACTAGCTCGCAGTGCTTGCTCGCGATGCACTCTTTGATCTCTGGCCACTTGGCATCGTCGGGATTCAGATTCAGCTCCTCCTCTTCCTCCTCCTCGTCTCCTTCATCAATCCCCTTCTTGCCGCTTTCTTCCTTCTTTGCAATGCCAGAGAATTTCTCCTTCTCCATCTTCATGGCCTTGATCCTCTTTCTCCTCTCTGAAGCAGTCTCGCCTTCGATAAACTCCACCTCATCTTGGCCGTCATCCTCCTCCTCCTCTTCCTGGAACCCTCGCTCGAACCATTTCACGATAGCCTCATGCTTGAACTGCTTGGCATAGTCCAACGCTACCTTGCGCTCATCGGACAGGGTGGAGGTACAAACTCCGTTCTCGTAGAGCAGCACGGCACATTCGTAGTGGCCGTTTCTGCATGCCCACATGAAGGCCGTTAGACCAACATCCTCATCCTTAACCTCCAGCTCCTCGTACACACGCGGCTTCCCCTTGCTCGTTCCTCTGATGTCCCCTCCTCCTCTGCCCATGATCATCCTCCTGATATGATCCACGATGCTCTCCAAGGAACGCACTTTGCCGTTCTTAGCTGCAACGTGGATACCACAGTAGCCATCGTCGTCACGAGTGAAGGGAGTGATACCTCCATAGTTGAAGCACCACCTTATCGTGTCTTGCTTCTGGGATATGATGGAGCTCCAGAACTGATTTCCCTTGTCTCCGCCCTTGGGTGGCATCTGAGAACAGAGAGTCAGTGAAGACAACAAGCAACAAAGACAAAATTCACTTCACTTGCACTCAGACGGCATCTAGTTTTCCAGACTGCCGTCTGACATCTCCCCTCCTTTCACCTCCCTATCTCCTCACAGTCTTCCTCCCCCCCCCCTGCCCCGCAACATCGTCACATCTGCCCGTCTCCTCGCCCTCCTCCTGCTGCAGTTCCTTCCCCTCCTCCTCCATGTTTCCTCTCACTGACGAAATTAGACGCGCCATGCGCACGTGGCATACCCCACATCCCCACACATTTGATCCGGTGCGGGCCCGCGGCGCGGGCCGGGCCGGGCCCGACCTTCAGTGACGCCGGGAAGTTTGGCGCGGACTCTTAGTCACAGTGGCCGCGCCGGTGTACCGTCCGGTCACTGCCGTGAGCCTTCAGTGGACACGCGGCCGGAGTGACACTGCGGTCCGACCGAAACTCAGTATTAAGTTCATTTTATTTCACGGTGGTAATAATGTACGAATGATCCCCGAGTCGGCCTCGGATTTTGCTAGGCCACCGCTTTCAACTTCAACGGTGTCAATCCCGCCGCCGATCCGACCACGACTTCAGTAGGAAAGGAAATTCAGCTGCAGAAATGAAATTTTTGCCATCGGTAAGAGGGAGAAGAAGGTCAGTGGAGCTCAAAGATATCCATGGCGCAGTATACGTGGCCGGCGGTCCGAGTGAGCCAGCCCGATCATCGGATTAAGCCAGGTGCGGCATAGATCCACGGCCCCTGGTCACTCAACGAATGGCGACGTTTCAGTTGCCGACTTACATCAGCAAGTGACTGCTTCATCAGCTGCTGCTGCTCCTCAAAGATTTGCTTCATTTCAGGATCGAGATCCTGCTTTTCCAGCATGTTGGCTATATTAGTCAACGTCGACATGATGATGCTGTGACTCTTGTACAGATCTGTCTGTTGCCTGATCGCTTCGGATTGAATCTGTACGGATCTCAATTCCGCATCACTTGGATGAGACAACTCTTCGGATTCCTTCTGGGGTCCAGGTTCGCTTAGGCGCGTCTGATCTCGACTAGGGATCGGGAGTGAGTCTCGATCGGTGAGCTTCTGACGTTTCTCGACCTGATTGTCTCCCTGATAGTCCCCAGTCTGCGACTGTACACTTGCAGATGGCAAGGACTCGCCCGTTCTGCCCTCTGAGTCTGCCGGAGTATCGTCGGGAAACCTGCTGGGCAAGGGATTGACCAACATTCGGGTAATCTCCGGACACTCTCCCCCTTCATGAAGCCTTCGTAGGTAGTAGACTTCGTACCACGTGACCCGATACTTGGGCTCGTTCGGCCTCGTAGATTTCTTGCCAACACAATGATTGATGAAGTCTTTCTCATCGGCTGGTTTGTCCCCAGCCTCGGCCTTCCAGTTCTTCTCAGCTGATGTATAAGTCCTCCTCATTTCCTCTATCCTCTTGTTCACTGACTCAGCATCGATCTTTTTGGGGTCTCGACTCGGATCCACCTTGGATCCTAGGTTCGGATCCTCTGCGAAACGATTCTTCGGCATCCACTTGGTATCGTTGAACTGATCCGCTATCATCTGGAGGGCCAAGTTCCTATCAGGCAGGATCTCTGAGGCGCCCTTGTCTTGCATTCGCAGGGCATTTTGCACTTGCACACGAATCGAAGGGATCAGAATGGCCTCGAGCAATCTGACTCCTTCTACGCTGTGCCTCCAGTAGTTGACGCCTAACCTCCCTGGACGAGCAGATTCTCCAGCTGTAGACGCTGGAATCGACGGGGGGTCAGAAGGCTTTGGTTGGAACGCACAGGTTCCATTCTTTCCACAGAACTTAAGGCGTTGTCCCTCCGCTCCCTCCTTCCCTGGATCGACTCGGCTGAACCAGCACTTATCACATAATCTATGTTTACATGTGAAGGTGATGAAGAGTCGGAACGGATCCAGTATGACCCCACATTCTGCACAAAGTGTGATGCCCCTGATGCCTTCTGGTGTTGCCATACTGACAGATGGAGAGAGGAAGAGGAAGAGGACAAGGAATCTGAGAGGAGAGTCGGCGATTTCCTACACTGACTGCAAGGGCATGGCGCGAAAGATCTGGCGGGAGTTTTAAAACTTCGACAATAAACTTTCAACTTCACTGGGAAATGTTTCGACGTCTGAAAGTTTGTAAAGTTGGACCTGTGACCGTACACCGATGCCGGCCTATGATGTTGCACCGAATGCTGAAGATCAAGAGCAAGAGCAAGAGGAGGAGGAGGAGAGGAGGAGGAGAATGCAGCAGAGTATTGTATGATAGGAAGCAAGGAATGAGTTGCAGGGCTGACAGAAGGTGTAGCGATTCGCCAGGGTATGACAAAGGTGCTTACAACTGGAACGCCCCTAGGACCAGAGACAATTAATTCCATAAAAATGCATCTTCGAAGAGCAATCCATCTCGACGAAATGAGAGATTTGATCTTTGGATCATTGAAAGAAATATTGTCCTGTAATAGATGAGACCGATGAGGGTTATTTATTACCAGGAATAGAATGTTCAACCGTGACTAAGCAAATTGTTTCTGGACAGGATCTTCATTTTCTTCCTCGATTCGTCATGTCAGTCACTTCTTCAACAAGTCACGATAGCTCAGAACACTCAAACAACCTTCTAGTGAGAGGCGCCAAGCATCTCAAATGCTGGTCGAAAGGATCCGAGAATCTGCAGCACAAGTTCTGTATGGCCTTCACCTTGGACTATACGGTTTACAACTTTCAGATTGCGTATAACGAGAAGCGATGGTTCATTCAAAAGAGATATAGCCAATTTGACAAACTAGACAACGTGGTGAGTTGTGATTTCCGTCGTGTCCGAAGTTTAGTGTGTTGCAGTTGAACGAGAAATTCCCCGACGTGATGATCAGTGTTCAGCGGCTGCCTCCTAAGAAACCATTTGGAAGTCTTAGCCCAGCTCTCATTGCTATGAGGCAGAAAAGCCTCGACGCCTACCTGCAAGCCATCCTGATTCGTCCGGTTCTTGTCAGGAGCGAGGAAGTCAGGGACTTTATCGGTACCTCCCCAACATCACTCACTTTCACGTGACGAATATTTGTCAGATATGCCCTACGACGTCAGAGAACTGTATGGCGAAGAACAGAGACATCTCATTGCAGCACAGGATGCGCTTCGTTGATAACATTCATTGACATGTTGTGTTAGTGTTAAAGGGTTGAGATCATCTGAGGTACTCAGGGGCTGGAGACTCCGTCTGACTATTTCTAACAAAAGAGTTTCTCGTGAAGGAATGAAGCACTGGTGTAGTGTTGACATTGTACATCCCTGCTGCAAAACAAAATCAACATGTGACAATAAACTTAATTGTGTCCTGCTCACTGGTTGAATTTTCTGACCCCGTCAAGCCTGTTGGCTGCGTAGACCCAACATTGCTCCGTCTGAAAGCAATCATTCATGAACCATCTGACCACTTGAAGAATTCAGGAGAAATTCTACCTCGGCGGTCTAATTGGCTGGTCGTCTGTTACGAGGAGATCTGAAAGCGCCTGTGCTGGGAGTTCAGAAAAAAGAGCCTGACAGGTAAAACGGCTTTCACCTGATTCAAAGACCTCACGTGGTCGACCACGTCATCCATGCTATGAATCGCTCCGGTCTTTGTGATAGCGCTGAGTTGCACTGGATTTTCAACACCCTGCGAGCCTGTGCACACACGTGAGCGCTTCGACATCGCTCTCTGCTCGTCAGACCAGCGGAGCCTGGGGATCCGTTTGGCATGGCGTTCACCCCAGGGGCATAACGTTGATCCGAATGTTCGAAATCATTCAAATGATCCAGCGAAGAAAATTGTCTTGTTGCCATCATTGTGTGATTCATTTGCTTCAACTGCATAATAGACAGTTATGAATGGAATCAAGCTTTGGTGAAATTGCAAGACCTGCGACAATTCTTGCTCGATTGAATTTTCAGCATCAGGAAGGGCGAAGGGGTATTGAGCAGGAGGGTTGTCAGACCTTGAAGCCTTCTGAAAATTCATAATCATATCAATTTTAACTGAGACTTCGAAGATGATGATGGCAATCGATTACCTGCTTCGCAAATTCTTCTTCCATAGCAGTTGAAATAGCCGTCTTCGTCACTGAGTCTGTTGTTTTGAAGAAAGTGACTGTTCCGTAGCTTGACCACTTCCCATCCTGTAGATTCCATAACCTGAACATTGAGTGAGACTTATTACACACAGAGATGGGATCATACGTATCCCAGAAAAGAACTCCAAATACGTTCTTGGAAAGCAGATCAGCCAGAGCAAAGCAAACCAATATTACACTGCAAATCTGTCAAGTCTAGACAAACAAGGCATCAAAACACCTTTCACTGGCGACACATGCACCTTCAACCGAAAGGACGAAGAACAGTGGATACATCGTCCACGATGTGAAGAAAATCACTGCCAGCAACCTGATTCTTTTTGCAATGATCAAATCAATCTCGCTGCCGCTTTCTTTGTAATGTTTCTCTGCAGCAGTGAAGGTGTGATAATTGATAAAGCAAATTAAACCAAAGATTGCCATTGCAATAATGAAGAATAGCCACTTGAGAGACTGGTTATGCGTCAAGGCCGCTGTATGCCCGAAGCATATCATGAGAGTGCTGAAATACATCTGCATGACATTGAGGTCAACTCCATAGATTCGAACAGCTGCCATGCCGTTGATCTGGTTCAAGATGATCGGGACTGTTGCCAACCACAGGACGGTCCTTGTCCACAGAACTTGCCTCCCATCCCACAAGAGGATGTATCCAATCTCAGAGTATCCAAGGCCATACACGAAGCATTCGGTGAGGGGAACCAAGACAAACTCCCAGGTTCCCCTCGGGTATCGCAGAGCGAAGAACACGGCTTGGCAGGCACACATAATCCCCCAGCATAATTCAAAAGTTCGAACGCCCAGGTCAATGTTTGAAAGAGTTACACAGCTTGGATTTTGTGCCGCCCATTCTCCTATATTCAGATTCGTGAAATTAGACATGCTTCAACTCTACCATGCAAAAGTACCGTATACGACGCTCATTGCACTTGATCAGGCGTACGAGAATTAAAATTGACAGTGCATGGACAGCCGATCTTTCTCCTCCTTTCCCTGCAAAGTCGTGTCAGCAAATTCCAACAAATCTGCTCTATTTCAGAAGCAACCGACACTGACTGTTACGAGCTGCAATCGCCTATGCAGTAGATAACAGTATCTCTACTAATTTCCACTGTTTACATCACTAAGTATCGTCTGATATCAGTTTAATTTCAAAGATCTTCAAATTTCATATCGTGTCCGAATGTCGACGTCACGTCTCTCCGAAGAGAGTGAGATTTTGTTCTCCACTCAAATTCTCTCCCATGCTGTTTACTCGCGAAATAACTTTTGCTCGTGATTCAGTGCGCTTCTCAGAGCTTCTCTCTTCCTCCTCATCCTTCTTCTCCTCCCTCTCCTCTCATTTCTCTTCTCTCCGCCCTGCCATTGCTTCTGCTTCAAATCAGCCGTTTCACAGACACTGACCACCCCCTTTCTCCTCCGCTGTACAGTATGACCCCTACCCTCATCAATAACATCAAGTACCCACCCGTTACACTTTCCCCCTAGTCGGACATTTCACCCCACCCCCTTCCTTTCAGTCCAGGTCATGGCCCTATCTCGAGTCCACTTTCCGCTTGTCTGTATCTGGGCTGGCCTACTACCCCTTTGAATCCCCTAAAAGGACCCCTCCCCAGGTGTACCACCTCCACCCCCTCGTACTGGTCTTTTAAAGGCTACGACTAGGGTGTCAAGACCGACTACCCCTACTTCTCATGATCGGTACCCTACAAATGATGTGACATGGACCCCTACCCACCAAGTTGAGCCATTTACTACCCCTGCGTTCGACCCATTTTGCACAACTCAGATTCAAAGTTTTGTAACTGTTCGTAACGTGGTCGGTTGTCGGCAGCAATGGATCGACCAGGGACGGTCAAGCGCGGTAAGCAATGGAGGAGGCAGGGAAGGGAAAGAGCGAGTGGGGAGGAGGAGAGGGGAGAGGATGAATTGGAAGGAACCGAACGGGTAGATCAGGGTGGCAAAGCTCTAAAATGGATCCGGAGAAGGGGAAGGAAATGTGCAGAAAGAAGAATGAATTTGGAAATGTGAATAAGAGTAGAACAAAGAATGTCGGTAAATGATGCATGAAAAGGAAGAGGAGAGGGATAGAAGGAGAATGGTTGGACAGAGTAGACAGGTGGTGATGATTTGTCGGAGAGTGGACCCAACAGGGGTTGGCCTGAAACGAGTGGCAGGACCGCCGCTTGCTCCTTCGGCAGGGTTTGGTATGCAGCCTGGCTTGATGGGTCCGCCTGGAACTGTCATGAGGCCTCCAACTGGGGCGCGATTGGGAACGAGCATGAGGATGGGTACAGCCATGCGGCCTGGATCCAGAGCTGGTTTGGGTCCACTCAATACAAACATCCAAGTAGCAGAACGGCCCGTCACGCAGCAAGGCATGATGGGCATGAAGGCAACAGTGCAGGGACCAGGCCGACAGATCGCTGACAAGACCTACTACATGGGTGAGCTGCGGAAGAAGTGCGACGAGATGCAGTCTGAGATCAGAAAGATGAACACCGAGGTGGAGCAGTACAACAAAGACAACCAAATGTACAACCAGATGGAACGGAAGTATGAAGTTCTCATCAAGGACGTGCGGAAGCTGCAAGGAGACCTGGCAGACTTGAACCTCATTGTTGACAAGTCGCGCAACAACACCGACCCACAAGACATAGCCAACGCGTTTCAGGCCCTGAAGGGAAAGAACGATGCAGATCGAAAGAGGGTGGATTACCTTTTCCTAGAGTGTCAAGCGAAGGAGAATGAAATTCGTAGCATCGAGCAGCAATGTTCTGAATTCCAGAAAAAGGCGGAGGAGAAGCTGAACTCGCTCCCTGCCGAGCAGCGGATGCAGTACGCACAACTCCAAGATGACTACAAGAGGCTCCTTGCAGATGTGGAGCAGAAGCAGTTGACATACGACAATCTCTGCAGACAGCTGTCGGCAGGCGAGGAAGCGCTGATGGCTGAACCGCTGAAGCAGAGATTGAACTCGATCCAGGAACAGAAACTCAAACAGTTGGAACAGAAGCGGAACCTTGAAGCAGAGCTGAACAAGCCGGTGATGAGTGAGGAGGAGGAGAGGGAGATGTTGCTATCACAAGTCAAAGAAGACAACAAACAGATCAAAATCACAGAGCGAAACATGGAGGAGATCAACTCGCGAGTAAGGCAAGTGCATCAGGACCTTGAGGAGCTCGAGAAGGGTGGGGGAGTGGTGAGTGATGGCTGAAACTTTGATGTTGAACTCACTCGTTGAGCAGAAAGAGTCGGAGGATGCAAAGAAATATCAGAAGTTGCGTGAGAAGGACCAGGAGATGACGGAATTCATAGAGAATTTCGATCAAAAACATTCAAAGGAGTTGACGACAGTCAAGGAGATTGAGACGAGAATTTTCAAACTTCTTGAACATATCAGTAAGGACCTTCAGCGCCAGCAGCAGCTCCCGAGCAAGGAGAACTTTCAGGACCTGCAGGATGAAGTTGCCGTGAAGCAAAGAGGGTTGGAAAACTCTCAGTCAACAGCAGAGAGATTAAGGCAGGAGAAGAAAAATCGTGATGCGGAGCTTGAGAAGATTGTTAATTTGGTGAGCTTTCCTCTGTTAGATTTGTGTTGATGGTCCTGCTGAACTTTTTTGTCGTTCAGGATCAGAAAATCAACGTCGAGCTGACGTCCCTGAGAGAGAAGAGCGAGCAGATGAAGCAAGAGCTCGAAGTCTTCAGCGACATGAACAAGCTCAAGAAGGTACTGGCAACCTCCTCTTTCCCTTCTACTTTCTTCGCTCTTGACCTCCTTTCTACGCTCCTTCTCTCTCCCATTTCTCTTCCTCTTCATTCCAAGTTTCACGCCTGACACCCTCCGACAGGATGCTGAGTCCAACAGGGTGGCAATGACCGCAAAGAAAGCCCAGCTTGACTCCAGGAGAAAGGCGCTGAAGCAGCAGGTGCCCTCCTTGTTCCATCTCCTCGTCCCCTCTTGGTCACTCGCTGGCTTCAGGTTCAGCTCCTCTCCACCGACTTCGACAAGTGCAAGCAGGACCTTGCGACCAACGAGTTCGCAGGTGAGGAGGAGGGGAAGAGGAAGGAGGAGGGCGAGGAGGGAGGCAAATAGCATGCTTGAGTTGATCCTCCTTGTTAGGCTCGCTCGAGGCTGCTGAGCAGAAGCTGCGTCACTACGAGCAGAACATTTTCCATCTCCGCGAATGTAAAGAAAATGATCTCAGGCTAGTCTCGTGACTAACTGCCTGCAGTCATCGACAGCAAGGAGGCGGAGACAGATTATGCTTCTGTGTACGAGGAGGTAGCGACGACCCTCCGCCCCCTCCTCTTGCTGACATTCGACGTCCAGGTCAGCTCGCAGGTGGCAGAGATCAACACCATCCTCCAGGCGAAGCACTTGACCCCCTTCTGAGGAGGAGGAAGAGGAGAAAGTTATTCATCGTCGTCCTCTCCTTTCGGCTTATCATCGGCCTCTTCCTCTTCCGGGGGAGAAACCGAAGCCTGCGAGGAGCAAACTTGTAAAGAAAGTGAAAGACAAACAGGCATGAACGACCTTGTTGATGTCATCCCGCTTGAACACACGCATCCTTATCTGCTGCAAGGAGCTCATTCTCCTTCACTCCCGTCAGTGTCTCAGGCGGGTACGTCGGCCTGCGTCACCTGGGAGCCATCAACGCGCTCCTGATGTCCATGCCGTAGATGGTGATGCTGCCACGAGGATGAGAGTAGAAGGAGCGACGAGGAGGGCATGGGAGAAGAGGAGGGGAGGAATCTTACACAGCAGTGAAGTTTTGAACTTGATGCTTGTCAGTGATGAGATGCGTGTATACATTCATGTCATGCTCCTCCTCTCGCTTGGAGTACCTGCCTGACTGTCACTTGCCTCTCCTCATCATCATCCTCCTTTCCTCCAGGGCGAAGACATCTCCAGGAAGCGAGAAATCCCCTGCTGTGCTGCAGGAACATCGATGTGCACGAAAGGACTAAAATGAGCAGTCACATGAGAGCGAAGTCGGAGCAGGTAAAGGTGACAACAAACAAGGAAGGGAGCGAGGAGGGCGGAGCGAGGAGGGCGGAAGAGGTCAGGAAGACGAGAAGGGAGGCTAGGAAAGCAGGAAGGGGGAGAGACGAGGAGAGGGGGAGCAAGAGGAGGAGCAAGAGGAGGAGGAGAAGAGGGTGACGAGGGGGAGAGGATACCGTAGCCCGGAAGTGACGTTCTGTCTCTCCATCTCGTGAAGGAGGATGAGCGCATCTCCTCCTGGGTAATTCTTGGAAGCCACCCGGGTGAAGCCAAAAGTGGCGCTGACGTTGAGCACGATCATAGTGACAGCAGCTCGGAAGAAAAACTTGGGAGATCGCAGCTTGTCCATCATGCTCTTTCCGTCCCCTCTGGCAAGATTCTTAGCTCCTCTTCCCCTGTCTCCACTGTATCCTCCCGTCCTCCCTGCCCCCCTGCCCCACTGCCCCCCTGCCCCCCTGCGGTGTCTCGTAGCTCCCCTGGCCTCCTCCTTCACCTCTCTTTGTTCCTATTGAGGTAGAGACGAGCAAGCTCCATAGCAACGACGCAGTTGAAGATGGGCAGGGCGTAGATGATGAAGCGAAGCTCCTGAAGTCAGAAAGATCAGTCAAGAGTTGCAAGGGGAGCAGGAACCGCGCGAAAGAGACAGAAAGTGGTAAAAAATGACCCGATCGCAAGATTGCTCGGAGAGCGGCTGATGGCAACAATCAAGACAAGATCACCTTGTGGGGTAGGAAGGAATACAGGCAGATGAAAGCAAGAACAGGAAAGAAGAATGGCCGCATCCTCTCTGTGTATATCAATCCTCCTGCTCCATCGTCACGACTGCCTCCCCAGCTCAGCCTCACCAGGAAGCAGAAAGAGAGTTCCCATCATGGATCGTGGGAGAGCACTAGAGAAGTACCAATGCCTGACAAAAAGTCAGGAAGAGAGTGAAGGAGTGGAGAAAGATGAACAAAGAAAACTATGAGAGAGGAGAGGAGAGGAGAGGAGAGGAGAGGAGAGGAGAGGAGAGGAGAGGAGAAGACAGAACAAATGATTGAAATGAGGACGGTAATGGTGAAGAGGAATCGGTAGTTGCACACAAGGGCTGAAAATTGTAGCAGGGGGACAAGAGTGAGAGTAGGGGGGGGGAGGGAGGAGAAGGGGGCAGAGGTCGGCGAGGCATACCAGGGCATGACCCCCCACTGCGAGCTCTTGTTGAGGATCGTGTTAAAGTAGAAAACTTCGCCTTCAGGCCATAGCCACCTCCTCCATAAGAGAGAATCGAACTGGAGAACTCAGTCAGCCTCCACGATGGCAACCAATGAGTTCTACCGCGATCGTCAGGCCCAGTGACAAGATTGCGCTGATGGCAGCTGTTGCAACTACCTTGATGACGGCAGAGAGACTTGAAAATTTCCTGCAGGAGAGCTCGAGTGAGAGAAGGAGAGGATAGAGGTAAGTATGACCTCAACACTACGAGCGAGACGAAGATTGGAGCAGCCAGCACAACCAACTCTGATCGGAAGACGATGGCAGCGAACGCGAGAATTGAGAAGAGAACCTCGTATTGCTCCTGATGTCTTCATATCAGCTTCTCTTGTAGCAGAATCAAACAAGTCTTCTCACCTTGAGCCAGGACGCAAAAGCAAGGTTGACAAAGATGGAGGCATACGTGTTGGGCAGAGGTCGGCTGCAGTAGAACAAGAGATGGAACTGATACACGAATCAGAAAAGATGCCTACATGTATCGGAGGGCAACCTGGATCGAGCAAACAACGGCAAAGCAAGCTGAAACGATCTTCCCGAACTGTCAAGGGAACGTGAGATCAAGGCACAACAAGGCACAACGTCATCAGCTCCCACCTTCTTCTCTACTTGAAAGCGAAAAGTCGCCAGACTGTACACAGACAGCGCTGCCAGGACCATGCGGCAGACAAACAGGCTGATGACTCGCGGCGCGTAGATAGACTCGAACAAGAGGCTTGCGACTCCTTCAGACGCTGCACCGACAGGGAACGTTCCTCACCAGATCGGCGACGCCAAGATCGCGTTGATGAAAGCGCCTATGAAAGTTCTGGGCACCACTCCCTACACACGCGATCAAGACACGCCAAACATGACGCTGCAATCTCACAGGGAACTGAAAGTGGTCGTAGCGATCCAAGTTTTGCCGCTCGAAGATCATATCGTGCATGGCCTGACGCGCCTTAGATCCCAGCAGCTTCATGGCATCGGGAACTCACCTGGACATTGAAAGATTCCTCTACCTTTGTGAAAGGGCTCATGTAGATTTGTAACACTGCGAGCTGGATCAGATAACGAGCTTACAAGCAAGGGCAACTCACATGCAACGAAGAAAACAATCCAATCCCATTCGTCGGGCTCTGGGAACAAGCCGAACAGAACAGACCTCGACTGCTCTTTCGACATCTGGACAGCAGCAAGGAAGAGATCAAAATCTTCCTCTTTCTTGTCCGCGCTAACTCACCGTCATCCCCTTCCCTTCTCTCAGCTCCTTGATCTGCTTCTTCGTCTCTTCATCGATGCCGCCCCCAAGGCTATCCCAAACAAGATCAGCCACATGCAACTTAGTTGTTGTGACTTCTCTCACTCCTCGTCCTCGTCCTCGTCCTCGTCATCTTCGTCACTGTCGACAAAATAATCGAAATCTTTGCGCTCCTGCAAGCCCGGGCCACGTCATCAGAAGCTGGGTTGAGTGAGAGAAGCAGCTGACCTGCGCAGGCTTCGGAATGTGTAGTTTCTGCAGCGACTTCCAAGTTTCTCCCTGGTGCAGCTTTCGGATCTTGAGCCGGAGAGATCGGGGGAGCAATCGAGCTTCAGTTGCTCCTGCCTGTTGAAGGACCAGACTGGTTACACGACAACCTTGGTTTCACCCATCTTTCTCATCATCATCAAGGGTTTCTCGCTGTCATCTGACTCTACCATTCTTGCTGTACTCTCCATGTCATTTCACCTTGATTTCTCCGTAAAGATCCAAAATCAACTTGAAATCTCCCTTCTTAGGAACAGTCCCTTGTACTTCGACCTTGCCTGTACAAACACGCACAGGTCTTTCAATCAATCCGAAGGAATCCTTGCATGCTCTTGTAATGTTGTGCACCTTCGGCAGAAACTGAGTGTGACTTGATGCATTCCTCGTTGACCTCGACTGTTCGAGTTCAAGCATCAGCCGACAGTAACGTGCGAGGGAACGAAAGAAAAGTACCGGTGATTATCACGTCTAGATCTGTCTGACCCCACTTGTAGATGGGGCAAAAGGATGAAGCATCCATGCTGTGTCGATGTTAGCTCAATATCTCATTCACATCAGCAAAGTTCCGACCTCGTCCCTTCTAGTTCACGCTGATATCAGAAAAAAATATTGCAAGTGTCACGAATTTTGCTGATGGTGTGAAGGCTGTCTCCTCGTTACAATCCAGACATTTTCCTGCAGGCCATGGAGTGACTTCCAGGTGTGAGCTAGCATGTCATGATCAGCATGAAATCTTCCTGTCTATGATAAACTTCTCTACGTAAATATTTTGTTTCATTCCGAAAATGATTCGACTTCAATGGAGATTTTGTATATTGCATTTCATACCTTGCTACGAGATATTGTATGTTCACAGGATTCTTTTCATTGTTAATCCATTACCAGAACCTCTCCCTCCCCCTCCCTCTCCTGCTCTTGTACACATCGCCGCTACCCGTCCCTCCTTCTAAGGGTGATCCGCAAAGGCCTTCACAAATACATTTTTTGGGTGTGGGTATGTCTTCATATGTATTTTAAAAATCTAGGTTCTATTTTATGAAAGATGAGATAAAATTTCATGATCTTGTGTATATTTGAGAAAAAGTATCCAACTCATGAAAATTTTTGGCGGATTCTTGGAAGTTTCTCTTTGCACAACCGGCCCGCCCCAGTTCAAAGAGGAGGGACAACCCCCCACATTCCTTCACCCCCCTATTGACCTGAATATCACGGGGAAAGTAGGGGGTGTATTTGCTGCATGCCGGTCCACCATTGACCAGGAACGGAGCAAGCAGAGGCAAGAAAAAGGGAGCGGAGAAAAGAAGAGGAGAAGAGGAAGAGAGGAGGAGAGAGCGATAGAGAGCAGAGATAGAGAAGACCAGGGTGTAAGAACTTTGGAACATATCATAGTTACATATCCGATCCTCAATGACGTCGAGACAACCACCAAAGAAGAGAAAGATCGAGGAGAAAGAAGATATTACAAACCTTTACTTCGGGGCCGATTTTGAGGATGCAGAAGCTATGCTTAATGCTGAAGTCAAGGTAATTTCTTATGAGGATATCTGCCATTGCAAGAATGTTGTCTTTCCTGCTGTTTCTTGTCAACTCTGTAGTGGGACGCTTTGTGTTTTTGAATTATCTGGTTCTGTTCTATATGATTTCTCTATGTATGTGTTTGTCCCTGTATCTCTAAAGTCTTGATGATTGAATTTTAGGTTATCATCGACAGCATCAATGAAGAAAAAGATTTGGAAATGTCAGATTGGTCTGAGTTGATGCAAAACACTACTTCAAATGTTTCCACCTTTGGAAGGTTCCAAGATAAAACATCTATCGCGACATGCAAGCAGTGAGTGTATCTTTGAGCTTCATCGCGGAGTTGTCTGAAACTTATATCTTGGTAAAACTCAGGGAGCTGGTGGATCTGGGATGCCACACCTTCGAAGCAGCTTGCTTCGGAAACCTGCAGCCTGCCAACGCTGATGAGGCGAAGCGTCTCATCCCGTAAGCTGCTGCTCATGCTGGTCTCCGGCTCTGACGCTGCTCGTGCCTCTAGTTCTCTCACTCGCTTCACCGACGATGCCGTCGAGATGATGTGCCAATGCGTTCAGCGGGTCAAAGACGTTCATGACAACTGAAGAATGCATGGAAAACAACTGACTCCTCTTCGACTTCGGCTTGGTGGCGAGACAGCTCTCTCGATTTCATCTCACTGTTTAGTACGAAGATGATGGACTATGTGAAAGAGAACACGATGTTGTTGCGAAAGATGTTTATTCATGGCTGTCCTGGTGTTAGCTGCAGTTGTACGCTCGATCACCTTTTCAACCTTTTAAATCCCGTTGAATTCAATGTATGGCATTCAGACAACAAGGCAACCTTACTTGACTGACGTCTAAAGAGAACGAAGTTGTTTGTGCTCCTCAGAGTAAGGTCCATAGCACACGGGTGTAATGGCACTGGTGAAGAGGGGTCCGTCCTTATGATCGGACTCGAGTCTTGAGCTCGTTTCCTTCCGAACCACCAGCCCTCTCTGAGCGCCCGCCGAGGCTCTTCATGGGCGCTGGCCCAGTTAACACTGGCCGGGCAGGCTGGCGACTCGCGGCAGGCCCGGGACTTCCAGGCCCGGAAGTTCTTTTCAGGGCAACTAGGGACCTCCTGGCTCTAACGGCTCGTCCTTCTGCCTGCCTGACCATACTAGTTCTACCCCCGTTGCTGCCTGACCTGCCTCTCGTTGCTTGTGCCTCCCTCTCATATCAGCGTGGGCATGCCTCGTCCTCCGCCTTGCTTGCGCCCTTGTTGCCCCCCCGCCTCTTGCGAACGCTCTCAGCCATACACACACACGAGCCGGAGCAGATAATCTCGTGTGATCCTGACGCTCCAAGTTGCTGGTGAGCCTCGGATGGCGGGGCAACCATGTGCGATACTGGTGGAGATAAAATCGGTCGAGAACTTGCCTAAGGTGAACAAGGGCCATGGCGGAGCGAATCCCTTTGTTGTGCTGGAAGTGCAGGACAGGGAAGGGCAGGCGGTGGTAGGAGGTATGAGGGAGATCAACTGCCTATCTTGCAAGACAAAGCCACTGAAGCGAATGCTGTCTGGTCACATTCAGGAATCGTTCAAGCTCAACGTGGACACGGAGATGGTGAGGAGAGGATACAGACTGTGTGTGCGGGTGATGGACTGGCGACCTTCTCCTCAAGTTCACTTTGAGATCGGGAGCTCGGAGGTTCTGCTGGCAGATGTCGCGAGGATGGCGGGGGGCAGCTCGTCGACTCCCCTTGAGTTGAAGAGCAACGGAGAGCTTGTAAGCACGTACGGGAAGCACTTCAAGAAGGACGAGACCATCCGCGGTCACCACAACCCTGACGCGCCCTCCCTTGTCATGCTCAGCGTCGTCTTGACTACTCCAGCCTTCAAGAAGAGTGTCATTGTACCAGACGCCGATCAGCTGCAAGCCTGGGACTACTTTCTGCTCAGCCCTGACGAGCAGGTGACGTTGACCAGTATCCTCGTGGCTGCTCACGTTGTGTTCAGGTTGAGTACAGCAAGGACATGGTCAACAAGGAGAGAGAGCTCGTTGAGAAGGAGGCGAGAAGGAAGAAAGCCGAGAAGAAGATGTCAAAGAGAAATGAAAACGAGGAAAACACTGAAAAACTCCTTGGAATGATAAGGGTAAGACAAAGATGAATCCCTCTCATCGTGTTTTACTTCAAGCAGGATCCCTCAAGCCATAGGATGAACTGGCAGCAGCTCAGATGTAGGTCAGCACTTGGACGCTTCGAGTCTCCTGACGCTCATGTAGCTGTGGTGAATGACGAGCTGCTGAAACGAGAATGGGGCTCGACCATGGACAAGTTTGATGGAGCAGGCGGGTGGAAAAGGAGGGATGGTGACTCAGCAATCACATGCTATCTGCTCGCATGAGTTCTGCTTCCTGCAGGCATCGGATCTGAAGAACGCATGGTTGAAGCTGAGAGGCTGCTGGTCCAGAAGCTCAATGGCTACAAGCTACGGGAGCAGCAAGAGACGGAAAGTATCCGCCATTTCGTTCAGGTGTCTGTCAAATCTCTGTTATGATACTTTCTTAATGGGGATGAAGGTTCATAACAGCAAACACCTTCTGCACATCACAAATCACCTTCGGGAATACACAGATCCCGGAGGACAACTGTCGACAGAGAAATATCCTGGTGAACGAACGCGATATCTTACTAGAAGATCTTGACGCACTGGGTCACACAGGATCTAGAGCTTTGGGAGGGAGCCTCTCTCGCATTCTGCCCACTGCTGACATCTCCCGCAAGCACGTGCCTCACTTGTCATGGACCACTGGAAGGCCGAGGGCCAGCAAGCGCAAGCAGGGCAGCGAGGCAGCTGCTGTCCTGATGTCTCTCGATGGCTTCAGTCACTTCATCCACGCGCTCGCTGCGTCTGCTTCAAGATCCTCGCAGCTGAGCAAGGAGCACATCTTAGAAGAGCTCACGAGCAACAGCCGGCGATGGAGGCTGATAGAGATGTCTCAGGGGCTGTGGTTGAACGAGCACAAGAAGAAGCAGCTCGTGAAGATCAAATCCAAGATGATGGTACTCCTCCTGCCACCAACTTGAACCTCCCTGATTGAACCTCGCAGAGCCGTGAATCGATTCTCCACCTTCGCCCCAAGACTTCTCAATCGGACACGCGGAAGATTGAGTTGGTTGACATCTTGAAAGAGCGAGACTTGAACACACCCGAGCACGTGAGATGGAACATAACTCACTCCCTTCACAACATCTGCCGCACCAGCTCCTCCTCCTCCTCGATCAGCCATAAGTTCTCACACCTCGTTGAATTCTGCGATCAGGATGTCTGCAATCCGGCTGAGAGGAGCCGATTGCAGACACCGACGCGTTATCAGTCGAAGACGAGGATGTTCCTGACTGAGGGGTTGGAGGATGTTGCTCGACCATGGGATGTGCATAGAGTCAACGACATAGACTTCTGTTCCCAGCCAGGAGCTGCCCAGGCTGAGCGGCTTCGTGTCAAGACCCGCATCAAGATCGTACGAGTACAGGGCGACGGGGAAGAGCCTGGAGGCAGAGGGCCTGGCCGAGTGCATCCAACTAGACCATTTGAGGAAGACGGACCGGCGCGTCAGGCTGGGAACAGCTGATCACCCCTACCGCCCTCCTGCTGACCTGCACTGGCACTACACTCAGAAGCAGAACGCTGGGCTTAGAAGAAACGACCTGGACAACCTCCCGGACCTGCGAAGCTTGAGCTCCGGAGGAAGCGTGCTCTTGCATGACGTGAACGAGAACCCTCGACCAGACACAGCAGCTTCTGTTGTTCGATCCAAGCATGGCATTCCCGGCTGTTTGACGTTGCTGTCGCACACAAGCAAGCACTCCTGGACAAGCTTTGAGGTCGAGTATGCTTCTTTCGGCAAGACAAAAGCGTTTGAAGGACGAGTCGTCTTGAAGAAGCCTCCTTCATCGCTGGATTCTGAGATGGAGGAGCCGCAAGTGCTGCAAGGGAATATCGCTCTCTTTGACGTTGAGCTGAAAACTTACTGCATGTTCAACGATCTCAGCATGCAGTGTGCTCGAAGTGCGCAGAGTGCTGGAGCCAAAGCGGTTGTCTTCGTCCAATCACAGGACGAGCTCTGTCTCGCGCAAGGAGGAGATCCAGACTTAGAGATCTCAATCGTAAGTTTGAGGCGAAGGGACGGCGATCAGATCTTGAAGGTTCTCGACGATCAGCTTGAAGCGGTTGAGGTACATATATCTGTCAGGCCAACCCTAGAGCCCGGCAAAGAAGAGCAAGCCTCGCGTGACCTTCTGTCAGATGCGCATGCATCACAGCTATCAAGGTTCTGGCAGGATGTTTTTGAGCAAGATAAAGATGCGCGGCAATGGCTGGACATCGTTTGTAGTCTCGTGTACGAATCGAGCCAAGAAGCGTTGAGGACAGATGGCCAACAACCTGCTGTCAAGACTCCAGGAGGAATGAGCGAACAAAGATTGTCATCGGCAGATCCTGAAGCAACTGAACATGAAATTCACTCATCCCCTCGAATGCTCGATGGCAAAATCAAGAGAGGACTAGCAATCATAGTGCACTTTGACAGTGGAGTGCAGGGATTCGACGAAGAATGCAAGAAAGTGCGATGCAATCTACAAGATGTTGGTTTTGACGTGTTGGAAGTGTTGAAACATGACAGCATTGATGAGATCGTATCCTTCTTGAAAAGGACTGCAGGAGGGTTTCATCACGGGGGGACCTACATGCGATGTGATGCTCTCCTTGTTTATGTATGTGGGAGATCAGATGGTGAGAGTGTGCGCTGCGGGTACAAGACAACCAAGACAGCTCAGGTTGCCATTCAGAGGATCCTTGACATCTTTGAGGACTCCAAGGTGCCATCGTTGAAGGGAAGGCCGAAGATCTTTGTCTTGTCCTTGTGCTTTGACAAGCTGCCCCACCATCCAGCTCGAGGGAATGACACGGGTCCAGCTGAAGCAGGTGAGGTCGCTGTTGAGAACATTCTCAGGTCCTCGGTCACAGGGGGAACAGCTTCGATATGCGCGATCAAAGTTGACAACCCCCTGCTGCCTGCAAACCTGCGACAAGTCATGGCGAATGCTTTGCGGGATGAAAGAGAGCATGTCGACATGTACGCTCCGACTAGTCCTCGTTCGAGGTCGCAGCTGCTGAAGGGAGGTCTCCCCCACAAAGAGTTTGCTGCTCTCGTAGACCTCGGTGTCTGGCGCGACGATGTTTGCTTCTTCATCTTCTCCTCCGATTCTTCAAAGAGAACAGAGAAGCTCACAGTGAGAATCAGCTACTACTGCAATCACGACTGTACACCTACCGTGAATGATGTGCAGTGGAAGGAAGCCGTTGACTCTGTTGGCCGTTCTCGTTTCAAGTTGTCGGATGTTCTTGTGCAAGTCTCGTCGGAAGCTGCTGATCCCTGCCTTCTCGTACCTGTTGCTGTCGAGCCCTTCTCCTCCCGATACCTTCGATTCGAGTTCTCTTGCGAGGAAGAAGATGGAGACTTTAACTTCAGCCTCCGTCAGATCAGGGCGTATTGCAGGTCTTCCAACCTGTCCACCAGCGCCATCGAGCAACCAAGTCCTGTCCCTGCTCTATCTCTACCAGCTCTCTTGAATCACTCCAAGGCCCTTCTCTTTCCCAGAGCTCAAGTCCCTCAACAGGAGGAGACTCTGTCCACGGGTATTCAACTCCGATCTCCCCTCTCCTTGCTGTGTTACTCCATACCTTCAAGGACGCCCAGTCTCATCCCGCAATCGGGCAGCTTCTTCAGCGAAGCCCTTGTGAATGTTATCCGATCTGATCCCTACAAGTCAAGTCTGCAAGAGCTGCTGAGCCACCAACTCCAGCTACAGCTCAGCTGTCTGTGCCGTCAAGCCTTGAGGAACTACTCTGAGGAGGTGAGGGTCCTGCACAATCAATGTGACATCACCACCAGACGACTGTTCTTGGACATGCTATACAGAGAAGGGACGCATACCAACAGCATCACGAGTCAACGAGACGTGTCTGTCTTGAACATGTCGCGGAGAAGCAGAGCGTTGTTAGCCGGGAACTGCCATGTCGCCTTCAACTCTCAGGAATGTGCGCGAGAGTTTTCGATCTCTGCGGACAGAAGCATTGCCAGGAAGCTACACGAGACTTCGAGTCCAATCATCGCCAGCACCACTCGCTTGCCTTCCGACTGGCTTCATATCAAGATCACCTTTGAAATTCGAGCCTCGCCGCAACGACCCAGTATAGGCAGGGAAATCAGACTAGGCTTGATGCGAGAGAGGCGCTTGGACCCTGACTTTCTCCACTCTTACAGTCTTGGCAGCGACGAAAACTCGTGGGCAGTCAGCTTGAGGTCCAGGGACGTCTTTCACTTGCACAACAACAACCATACGAGGTTGGCTGGTGTACATTTCAGTGATGCTGATCACATTTCTATCGTCCTGAATCGACAGCATCAAACTGCCTCCTTCTCTCTCAACGACGCTCAGCAGCTTGTATGCTTTCAAGGTGTTGACGAGAGAGTTGTACCTTTAGTGTCGATATCTGCTCCTGCCGTCTGTGATGTCGCCATATTGCCATGTGAAGTTTGGTAAAGACAACCCGGCCAGGGCCGCCAATGAACCTGCTGAGCTCTGCCAGTCGGGGGCACTTCTTGCTCACTGAGTCACTGGGCCGCCGGGCCTCAGCCTGCGGCGCGGGGCGGCCTGGCACCAAGACGACCCAAACGCGTTTCAAGGCGGCAAAGTAGTACAGAGACGAAGAGCAGGCCTTCCTAGCCGTCACTGGCTTGCTAAGGTCTTCTCATGTCTGGATGTTTGGGTTTTACATCCTAGCATAGAGTCTATCTCTCACTAGTCATGTCCTCCGGGAGTCAGCCTGATTCTGGTTTCGTGTGCCGCGATTAAACTCGGTCTTGAGCCGCGGCACTTTCAAGTTGGCACACTACAAGCCTTAGTGTAACAAACTTGTGCTCCGTCAGCATCCAGCGGTCATACTATCCTCAGGCATCCGGGAGTCCGGGCCCGGCGACCATAGCCGCTCCGGCCCGGGGCGGCCGCGGCCCGGCCCAAGTTACGTTGCCATGCAACTGAGAAGCTAAACAGCTTCTTTGAACTAAGTACCCCCATGTTCGTAATGACAGTGGACAGTAGGGGTATTTTTAAGTACCCCTTGTATAGATAATTCAAAAGGGGGTAAGGGTAGTGTTTGGACAGGTGGCTGCTCCTCCGCCATGTTCAGGAATCAGTACGATACCGGTAAGTGAAGGTGCGGGAGAGTGACGGAGGATGAAGAACAGGAGGGAAAGAGAGGAAGGAGAGTCTTTCACGAGCGGGTGAAGTCAAGATGGCGAGAAAGAAAGAACAGGTCAGAGGGCGAGGGACAGAGAGGAAGGCAAGAGAAGTACAAGTGCTGGAAGCATAAACGGAATTGTTGGAGTACAACAGACTGCGAAGAATATTTGCGAAGGTTGAGAGGATACCGAGATAAAAAGATTATGTGCAAGACATCAAAAGGGCACATTGAATCCCTGACAGGGAAAGGAGGGAAGGGAGACTAGAATTTAGTGTATCAGAGGAACTCTTCATTGAGGGCGTTGAGTGTAGTGAATCATTATTTTCTACGAGTTTTCGATTGTCAAGGGTGTCAAGGCCCATGATTTGGTGACAAAATGCTCGTTTTGACGAGCTTTCTCTTCATAGATGTCACTACATGGTCGCCTCAGGGTCGCATACACCAGGTCTGTTCACTAGACTTTTAGTTGCTTTCTCATGTTTGCGAAGGTGGAGTACGCTATGGAAGCCGTCAAGCAGGGATCCGCATGTGTTGGAGTGAAATCCAAGACACATGCTGTCTTGACAGCATTGAAACGCTCAACGAATGATATGTCTAGTTATCAGAAGAAAATTTTCAAGGTAAGCATGCCACCGTACTGTTGGTAGGCACAATATTGCTAGATGCATGATACTTGATTTTCAAATGCCTTAGAATCTGAAGGACTATCTGCATGTTGTTAGTGGTGACTTTGCGTCACATCACAGGTTGACGAGCACATGGGGATTGCTATTTCGGGCCTCACTGCTGATGCACGATCTCTTTGCATGTACATGCGAACAGAATGCTTGCAGGTAGGACCGCATTATGATGGAGGAGGAATGGTTAACTTTGAGTAGCACAAGTATGTGTACGAGTCTCCAGTCCCTGTTCAGCGCCTTGTCATTGATATTGCCGACAAATGCCAGGTAAGATGCAATGACGACAAAATAACGGCTTTCCGTGCTGACAAATCAACGTCAGGGTTGCACCCAGAGTGCGTCTGCCAGGCCTTATGGCGTGGGCTTGCTGGTTCGATGATCACAGACAAATGTTTTTGGTGTAAAATGATGTCCGCAGGTGGCCGGAATGGATCAGACTGGACCACATGTTTACTACAATTGCCCTTCTGGAAACTACTACGAATACAAAGCAATGACAATTGGTGCTCGTTCACAGGTTTGCTTGTGATCAAATGCCACGCAATTCTGATAGGTTGGAAGGCCGCAAAAACCTACCTCGAAAAGCATTTTGCTTCATTTGAAAACTTAGAGCTCAAGGACCTAGTTAGTTTTTGTTTTAGTGTTTTGCTGTTTGGTAATGAGCGCACAGGTGAAACATGCACTTACTGCTCTGAAAGAGACCTCCCAAAATGGCGACATTAATGCCAAGAATGCATCCGTTGCTATTGTTGGTATGAAGTTGAATCCACCAATTTTCTGAATCTTGTTGTCTGTCTTTCTTGCTTGTTTGGAATCGACTTTGTCGTTGATCTGCTTTAATGTGACTTGCTGAGACTTAACGCAGGTATCGACCATCCATTCACGACGTATGATGAGGAGAACGTGCAGCAGGTGAGATTACATCAAGTTTGTTTTGTTTCTTAACGTGGACGTTTTCAGTTCATTGATTTGCTGGACAAGGATGAGATTTCCGAAGGAGCCACCAAGACAGAGACAGATACAGCTATGCAGGAGTGAGCACGGGAGATGCAATGCAAATCTCTTTAGTTTTCCATTATTTTCGCATTTATGGGATCTATAAGTCGTCATGGCTTGTCGAGGGATTTCTAAGGGGCATAAGCAATGGAATGGCTTCTTGGATGTTGCAAGTGGAAAATAGGTGATTGATTGTGCGGTCAACTTTTGAATGAAGTGTTCTGGTGTAAGAACCAAGAAAATTCGATATTTGTGTGTGCTTAGCCCAATGTATTTCAGTTCTTCCGTACATGTCGTTCTTCATTTTCTCAGTCTTATCCATGAGAAGGGATAACGTGGAAGAAATGAAAGACTTCATCCTCATCCATTACGCCGATCTCAGCCTGCTCAAAGTGTGAGAGGAGGGGGGGATTGCAAGCATAGACCGCGGCTCACCGAACATGTCTTGCAGCGAACGGGATGTACGTAGGAATCTGGAAGTCCTTTCTTGTCCTTGATCCGCAACCGTTCACCCTTCACCACCTTTTCGATATATTTGAATGATAGAAAAGTTTGCTGAAATGAAATTACCTCGCAATTCTGAACAAACATGGCACGAAACTGATGCTTGAAACTGACCAACAACATGAGCTTAGGGGAAAAAGATGTTGTTATCACCGGATGTGTTGCTGGCAATCCAGACAGACGATGTTGAAGCATGCTGGGCAGCTCAAGATGGCATCAGTCTTTGTCTGTGGGCCTTTGATAGCATCTCCACTCCCAACAAACCTAGAAACAGCATAACGAACTTGCTTTTACAACCAGAAAATACCCGTCAGGCTTGATCCATGTGGTTTCGTTGGTCCTCTCATTATGGTAGTATTCGTGTCCCGTTGGCGCAACGTAAGCCTTCCACTCCGATGCATCGGACGGCTGTGCCGGTGGTTGATCTGCAGCAAAGGAAGATACTTGGTGAGTATTTGATACTTCCAAGGGGAACCATCAACTCTGACCAGGTGCTTGCTGGTCGTCCTTGGGTGTTCTCTTTGACGAGGGAGCTTTAGGATGTTTCTTGGACCTTACAATTTTATCTCAGAATAACATGTAGACAACGGATTGAAGCAACTTGAACTCCGGATTATGTCTTCGTCGACGATTATCAACGAACATTTGATCGAAATCATCCTGCAAAGAAGCATGATTGACGCGGTTGCCGGCCACAAGTTTCAAAACTCACCATGTCGGGATCATACCATTCCTCTTCTCCTTCTCCTACAGCTCCGAGAAGCTCTTCATCATCTTCTTCACTATCCTCATCGTACCCCTTTGAATCCCCGTTGTCATCGAAATCAACCTGAGCCGCGTTAGTCGCCTTGGCACTGTGAGCAGAGAAACACCTGCGAGAATTTCTTCCTAGACTTGGCCTCCGTGTCGTTGCAGCTTGCGGAGGCTGAGGGCGTAGACGATTTCTTCTTGTCTCGGCGCGGGATAGTTTCATCTCCCATCTGAATGTCACCCTGCATCGCTTCTCACTACCCCACAAGCGATCAAGTTCTTCTCACATCGTCCTTCACCGTCATTCTCTCCAAGTTCCTTCCAACATGATGGCCTCCCTGTTCATCCCCCGGCGGATCTTCTTCTGACATCGAATGTGTCACGAGGAAGCAGCGAGGATAGTCGACTGACCCCCTATCACGTTGCCGGAAGATGCTGATGAGACCGACGACTTCTCGTCGTCTGACGAGTCCTCGTCGTTGTATTGCACTCTGAGATTGTATCACGGCTTAATTCGTGCAAGGGACGCAGCACCGATGGTGAGCCTTCTTCCGATCAGGGACGATGTTGGTGAACTCGGGGATTTCAAGACCGTCTCGTGGGGTATTATTGACAGACAACGATGCGCAACCAGCACTCACCTCTCGAGTCTCCCTGCTCGTTGCTAGACTTCTGATTGGAATCATCCATTGGGCAACGTCTCGTTGCTGCTACATGTTGCAGTGAGCATACAAGTTTTCTTCCTCAGATCCAACAAAAACCCTCAGGAGCGTGAACTATTCTCCTTGCCAACTTTGCCTCCTTCCTCCCTTGCCCCCCCACTTGCCCCACCTTGCCCCTCCTGCCCCCCCCTGCCCGTCATGCCTCTCAACCTCTCCTCATCCTCCTCCCCATCTCGCCATCACCCTCGAATCGCATCCCACTCCTTGTGCATGTCACAGTGTTGTAGGTTCACACGGGAACAGGCTCGAGGGTGGGGTAGTGTACCTCCACCTGCCTTTTCGAGATACTTTGACAGGGGCAAGACGGGTCATTTGAAGGTGGTCGCAGTGAGGGGGGTGGGGGTGAACAAGTTTGATGCAGATCGGGATGACAAAGTTGTGTAGGCGACGGGAGGAGGGGAGAGGAGGGGAGAGGAGGGGAGAGGAGGGGAGAGGAGGGGAGAGGAGGGGAGAGGAGAGGATGAGGTAGGAGGATATCGACAGGAGAGTGCAGAAGAGTTAGAAATGGTGAAATGTGGCGAGACAAGATGAATGACGACATCTCACCCAACAAGCCACAAGGAAAGACAAATTCAGATAGTGCAAGAGGAAACTAGGTGAGAAGATGTGATTATGATCAGTAGAGTCACGGTCAAATGGAACTATGAGCATCAGACGCAAAAGGTCAACAGATGTGAACATCTTGCTTTCGATTCTTTGTGAAATGTTACAGGAGCTTAACCATGGTTTATACGATGATGTTCTCATGTTTATGGCATTTTCAGGCAACTTTACCAAGAAGCAGGTCAACAAGTGGGACCAATGGCTGCCTGGACTTGGGCTTTTGCCCTTGTCTCATGTCTGGCGTTGCAATCCAATGCGATAAATCAAAGAATGTACGCTTTGCTCTTCTTTGATAAATGTTTGCCAACTGTTTTCAATGTTTGCAGGTTCGATTCTGATAAGCGCAATGAATTGATCGTTCCTTCTTCATCGCTAAATGCAACGCACACAGATTATCGTTTTTTGACGACAGGGCCGTGTACCATCAATGAAGTAAACAACTTCAACTCTATTTGTTTTGTTTGTCGTGCTTACCCGCCTGTTGCGAACTAGAACGCGATTTATCATTACGGATCCACGCTCTCAGCCTCGTCTACGGTTCAGATATTTGTTTCCCTCACTCATGTTTTGAAGCTCTTTTCAGATAATGGCTGTTGGAGGGTCAGAGGGTCGTGCCGATGTACAGTGTATAGTAGAAGCCTGCGAATTCCTTCCCGATCTACAGGTAACACACACTGAATTGATTCTTTACAATGAGCGAACTTGGGACAGTTTTCATGGAATCGGTTATACTTGAATTCCTCCTCAAGACGACACACCCAAAAGAAGAGTTCCAAACGGCAGGTCAAAGTGCACAGCTCTGACTACAACGATCAGTATAGCTACCCTTCATGTATGCGGAATGGATGGGAACCGCAGGCAGGCGACGTTGTGAGAGTTGCAGTCTACATGAACACTGTTGCATTTGCTTCCTCCGGGTGTGTTGAGATTCATGAGGTTGAGGGAAGCTCATCATGGAAGCACATAGCTTCACTCCCAAGATCGTTGAATGTCAGCAAGACCAACCAATATTCTTCTCGAGTCGTTTTGAACGAAGTCATTCGCCCTGAGTTTTTTGCCAGCACCATTGCAATGCACGATGGTGTCCTGCTTGCTACCGCTATTCTTGGATCTTCGCCGCAACCTGTTGTGGTTGCTTTCTCAAGGCTCGGGGCTTCTTGGGAGCAGGTCGACGTCATCACGTGCGAAGGATGTGAATGCAGATATGGCGATTATTGCTTCGGAAGCTCTCTGGCTGTTCACAATACCATGGCTGTTGTGGGATTTCCGCTGAATCAAAGGTACTTGCGTTTGTTGTGAACTCCATGTATGTGACTAGATCCTAGCGTTCTGATCTACGAGCGGAGAGTGATTCCTTCCACGGATCTAGAAATACATTGGTTGCTCAAGAGTGTTTTGACCGCTTCACCCGATGATGGCCTATCGAACAATTTTTTCGGAGCCTCGATCGCCATGTCTGGAATGTTCCTCGTTGTGGGCTTTCCGTCCACATTCGATTCAGGAGCCAAAATTTTCTCTCTGTATGGCAACCAATCGTCAAGGTTTCCATTTGCTGCTCAGATTTTTGACAGTAGAGATCATTGCTGCTCAATTGGTCTTCCATGTTGTTACTCGGCTTTTGTTGGGGTCTCAGTCGATGCATCAGAATCTCCTCATGTTGGCTACAGCAAGATCAGCACTATCGCCATTGGCGATCCTCAGAGTTCGCAGGTGCATGTCCTGACCTGCGACGGACGCTTGCTTGAAGACGGTCTAAGTGACCCCTGCGACGTGACAGCAACAGTCCTCCCTGGCTATCAACGGGACGACGATAGGGGAAGGGATGGGTTCGGTGCTCAGACTGCGATAGGTGGCGAACAAGCCATCCTTGTCGCCGATGCCAATCAAGGCTGTGAAGATCAAGCTTGGGACAGCGGCTGTGGCACCGTTTGCGAAGTCACTTCATGCTCCCCGGGACATTGCCTCATGTATGACTTCTCGACGGATACAGACTTTTGCCAAAAGTGTAGCTCACCAGAAAGCTGTCCCGGAGGCATCAAGAGCTGCACACAAGGTCAAAGTGGGACGATATGGGCGATGATCATGTCAACCACCTTCTTCTTCATTCTCTTCTGTTGTTTGTACGGCTTGAGTGCGTGGGCGCGAGGAGCGTCTATCTTCGATGTAGTCAACGAGATCTGCTGCTGCGGCCTGTTGTCCTATTTCTACGACTTCGACGTGGTGCGAAGGAATTTGGGCGAAGAGCCGCTTCTGGGATCGTCAAATCAGCAGCATGCAGAGTCGTCGGATGATTCAGACGGTGAAGGTTATATACCTCCGTCTGTTCGACAAGCTTTCAGGCCCAGACCGGAGCCTCAGGCTCCAGCATCTGATACTCCCGCTGCAAGCTCTGAGGGAAGTGAGTCCCAGGAGGCGGCAGCGACGGAAGAAGAGAAAGAAGGAGGGAGCGAGGAAGCTGATGGTAGCAGAGAAGGCTCGGAACCCGTGAACCCGCCAGGGGAAGAAGCGATGCCGGCAGAAGAACAATGTGACATTCACATGGGAGACCAAGGTGACATCATGGATGCTGAGGGCCAAGAACAAAGGCATGGCGCGAGCAGGACAGGAAGCGAAGGTTTTCAGTCACTGCTCAATGTCTTGATGGATGAGGCTTTTGGCAGGTGATGTGCCCAAGGAAGTCGGCGTTAGCATCTCCTACTTCTCGTGTAAAGTCTGCTTCGACCGCAGAATCCAGGTGCTCAAAGTCAGCTCAGGCTCCTGCCGAGCTCTGATGGATCTCACAGACGGTCCTGATCCCCTGCGGCCATGAGGCTCTCTGCAAGAAGTGTTCCAAGAAAATCAAGGTAACATCTAGGCATTGTTCGAGCATGAGCGAGTGGAGGTCGTTTCATCCCTAAAATCATTTCTTGCACCAGGTGTGTCCCATCTGTCGGAAGGAGGTCAAGAAGGTACAAGTTGTGATCAGCGTGTGTGATGATGACGAGGAGGAGGTCTAGTGAAAATTACCGTTGTCTTTGATTCCTTCAAACTGCTATTATAGATAAATCATATTACATGACACCCGCGCCCCTGCGATCCGAGGGCCCGTGCCATGTTTAGGCTTGCCAGTTTGAGTCCGGCGAGACTCTAGTTGTTCACTCACAAAGTTCGCTGGTGTCTCAGCCTCCGCCATGATCGTGGCCGGGCCCGGATGAGCTCCCCGCCGGGCCGGGGCCCGGGCCGCGCGGAGTCGACATGGGCGTTACACTGCATCTCGCAAATCCCGCCTCAACACGAGGCGTAACGGTAGGAATGCAGGAATGGAGTAGATGCAAGGAGACAGAAGGGGGTGAGGAAGGGAGAGGAGGGAGTAGGCACAAGTGAGACAAGTCGGAGAGATGAGTCGAGGGACGGGCATGGCAGAGACGAGCGATGCGTGATAAGACAACTCTCGTGCGGACACTTGGAGAGCGGCAAACGAATGTCGTACCATCATGACGGAAGACGTCCAAGCGTCGATCGAGTCCGAATCGTCTATCGCAAGGTGTGACATGTTGCATGGCGGTTTTCACCCCGCATGAAACGTTCTTGTGTGCAAGAATTTGGTGCATGATCCCCGGCTGGAAGCAACGGAAGATATCAGGACATTTTCTGATTTCCAAGTCAAGAAGCTCTCGAAGCAAAAGAAGGTTCTTTGCGTTCCTGATGAGTTGTACATGGCAATGAAGTTGAATCGCAGTTGGCTATCAAGGATCTTCCTTCAGGAACCATCAGTGTCTCCTTTGGAACAGTGAGCTCTTGCTTTCTTTACGATTTCACAGAGTCTCACCTTGTGAAAGTTGAACCTGAGAGAGAGACGAATTACTTCTCTCGATGGCTTGAGATCATTTCAGCATGTTCATACTATCTTCTTACAGGCAGAATGCAACATGTTTGTCACCCTCACTGAACTGACTTGATCGCAGGACAACGCACTGCAAAATTTAGAATATCTCGCTGAGCAGCCCACGTTGACCTGCTTGAATCTGGAGAGAAATTTGATAGATTCCTTCCTTGGAACGAAGAGACAACCGAAAATCAATGAGGCATAACGAACCTGGACAACATAGATGGCATGGGTGACGATGAAGCAGGTGTGGTTGGACGGCAACCCGATCAGCAACGAAGATCTCTGCAGTGTCATGTGCTGCTTGAGTTTGAACCCGAGCCTGAAGAAGGTGAGCAGGATGCCTGATGAGTCTTGTGTGATGGCTGCTACAGGTCAACGGCAAAGTCATCTCCAAGCAAGAACGAGAGCTCATTCATCTCCTCGATCGCCCGGCTCTTAGAATCGCCCTGGAGCAGGTGCAGCCCGGGGCCCCACGTCTCATCGTCGAGTTGACCGACGCTGCTCAGGGTTGGATCCTTACGACAGACGCACATCATCACGAATGCGAAGTCAATCTTCCAGTCGAAGAGTTCTTCTTCAGGCTTGAGCCGGCGATTGAGAATGTAAGACCATGACACGCGATTCTACAAGTGACGAGCGGTTTGAAGGTGTCTGAGAGTGAAAATCAGCTGCCCACGGACTTTGACATTCACTTCCACCTGAAACGGAGTTATGAGATGCTTGCTGATCTCAGGGTGTCAAGATCTCCCAGGATCCCCAGGAGAGAGACAAGTCAGTCGTCAGACGTCAAGCCCAAGGCAGAGGCTTCACACGTGTCTATGACTACACATAAGAAGCCGGGGCCTCGAAACCCTTGGCGGATCACCAACGTCAACACTCACAACAAGTTGTCTTTGACGGCTCATACTCCTACCGCACAGCCGCTGCATGCGAGAAGGGAAAGGAAGAGCTTTCCATGTGCCTTCAATCCTTGCCTATGATGTGTCAAGTGACGTTAATCTCAGTATACGAGAAACCATCCAAGCACGAAGACTCGAGTGAAAAAGCTCCTAGGCAGAGGTATCTGTTGGAGGCGCCTCGTGTCAAGACCTTGCACGGCAAGTGCTGTTTCTTTGTTCTCGACTCGAGCACTGGTATGATGGGATGCTGATCAGATCAGCTCGACATCTCTCCGAGGCGAACCAACGAGATCTTGGACTGGAAGTTGTCAAGCCTCGACTTCGAAACGCCGAGGAACCTGACGGAGGGGCAAGCTGCCTCGGAGAGCAACGAGGTGAGGTCGCGGCCACAGGTACAAGGGGACGAGGAGGTAGCAGACGTGCTGACGTGTGACAGAGCGGGGGAGAGAAGTTGAAGACGCGAGACGAGTCGAGGGTGTTGGAAGAGTCAGGGCAAGATGACTCCATCGTTGAGATGCTGAGAGATATTCGGAAAGCTTCAACTGCTTTTGAATCTGCACAGAACATTCTTCTAAATGACGACAGTTACAAAGACGAGCTACACGTCGTGCAGTCGCATACAAACGGTTTTGCCCTGATCTTGTTGCTCATGTGTGAGTTTCTGCCTGCAGCAGTGTCGCCGAAACAGAAGCAAGACGCGAGCAAAAGTTTATTCGTGCAGTCTCACAAGACCGTCTTCGGTCAGATCGCCATGACCAACTTGCACGTCACATTCACAGGTGGCAAGATTTGACTGACCCGAGCGACGTTGAAACTTCTTGTCAGATTGGAAATTCATCGCGAGGGCTCGTAAGATCTCGAGGCTCTCGGCCTGGAAAGATCAAAACGCTGACTTGCGCTGCCCAAAGTGGCTCAACTCAATACTGCACGATGCGCTCCCGATGTATCAGGATGTGATGACGGCCAGGTGACTTTGCAGTCTTCTCATTGTTACCCCCGTCATTTGAGCTCAGGATCCTTGACAACATCTTTCGGACTTGGCTGCTGAACGTGACTTCCGTTCTTTGCAACCGAAAGCTGTCAGATCACCTCAAAGTGAAGTCGTTGAGAAGTCACATGTTCCGATGGAAGCTCAGCTGCACCATCAAGAGCCAGAGGGCCAACACCACGTCTCATCATCAGCTCTGTAACTTCTCTGCGCTCTCTCGGGCCGTTGAGCGGTAGAATTCTGCTTCCCCTGTGTGGGTCTCCATGACGTGAGGGACAGGTTGAGGGATGACCTGGCTGGTGACTCGCCTTCAGCCTGCTCTGTAGCGCAAGAGAAGGTGGTCCAGACTTACCGGGTGGCGAGGCGAAGGATGTGCTGTGCGCCCAAGAGCAGCCTGTGGTCCTCCTTGGCGAGCCTGCAGGACTCCATCAAACTGAGTGCGACCTTCCGGTCATGGAGGGAGTGTACCAAGGACAGCAAGATCATCATGCTGACCCAGAGGGTGTCTGACATCGAGGATCGCATCCAAAATTTCGCCGAGCGAGAGCAAGCTGCGAGGTACTGGAAGCGCTGGAGCTCGTGTTCTTGTTGTGACCAGGACTGCTCAGAGAGGCGAACAGCTTGTGGGATCGAAAGACTCTGAAGATGCTGGTGAGGACAAGGCGACCATTCCTCTCTTGCTTCCCTTCCACTCCGCGTCCTGCTGTCTGACTCAACCTGATCAGGTTCGCGTCAAGTTCATCAACTCGAGCTCGAGGATCGATAACGCGACGATGGAGCAGTTTGTTGACTTGCTCATGCTGGTGACCGGGTGTAGCGACCGAGAAGCTCGTGCGGAAGAGGCGAAACAAGAGAATAATGTTTGAATAAATCTTTACTACCTAGATGAATTTTCAACGTTCTTCCATGACCGTCTTGTGGTACGCAACTTCGAGTCTCTTTCCATACCATCAGTTAGCAAGCCTCTGCTTGTGGAACTTGATGTGATCCTCAATGAAAGTGGCGATGAAAAAATAACTGCAAACAGCGTCAAATCTTTCACCCATCCCACCGCTCCATCTGAGGCACCTGTGATCGTAACCTGGCTGCATGCGGAGACTGCATTTCTGACCGACCTGGTCACAGGCAGCCTTGAAGTTCTCCGGCAGCAACTGCATAGATCACATCTTAATATCGAACAAAAGGAGGAGGAAGAGGAGGAAGAGGAGGAAGAGGAGGAAGAGGAGGAAGAGGAGGAAACCTGCCCGGCTGTCAGGAAATTGTCCTTGTCCCCTACATCAATCAAGATGTCGTCGAAGGGAGCAGCTTTCATGCCCTTCAACCGCACGAGTCACACTGATCGCCATCATCGACAAGGGCTCCTCACCTTCATCTGCTCCGTAGCATCATAAGCCTTCCACTGTTCCTGGTCGTCTCCGAGGTATCTTGAAGCACCCAGTCAGTTCAGAACTCCGATCCCGCAACCTGAGACCCTGTGAAAGCCTTGTTTCCCCACGGGCACTGCACTGCTGTCAACGCGCCATCACCATTGGTCAACCGCGTCACCTGCATAGGATTGCAGATGGGAGCGAAGGCAGACACTGATGTGTAAACTCCTGACGGTCATGTGCATATCAGGAGAATCTCACTCTGTCACACTACAACCTGGGTTTCGCAGAGCGATGGTAAGAGCTCCATGGCCGCCCATGGAATGGCCCATGATGGCCTTGAGGACAGGAGTCAGCAGATGTCTCCTGCCTCCTCTCCCTCAACCTTCTTGCCGTTGGTCTTCACAGTCTGCTCGATAATCTCCATGAGCTCATTTGTTACGTAATCGTACATCTTGTAGTTCGCTGCACACCCAAATCCAAACGGATCAGCTCTACAGCGGCCGCAGCCATCAAGCAAGTCAACCAGCCCATTTCGGCTGAGTCGCATTCAAGTAGAATCCAGCTCCCTTGCCGAAATCCCAACTGACGAGAACAACTCAAAGGGAGTTTGCTCCACATACTCTCACTTCACCTCTCGCTGTCTCCCTCGATGTCGACACCCCTCGGGCTCGTGTCAGGACACACGATGATGACACGGTTTTCAACAGCTGCTCTGAATGCTCCTGCTTTCTCGATGAAGTTCCGATCCGAGCAGGTCAGCCCACTCAGCCAGTAGATGACCTGTCAACACATAAACAGGCGCCATGAGCATGAGGCGAGGTGAAGCATGCAGCCAGCTGGGTCATCACCGGGAGCTTTTCGTCACTCCCGCTTCCTCCGTTGATCACAGAGAACTTCATGACGCATCCAAGAGTAGGGCTGTTGTGCTCGTACCTGGCAAACGCGATCTCACAAGAGATCGCGGAACCTTACAAGGTCTTCCTCTGCTCTCAAATACTCTACTGTGCTCAGCTCTTCTCAAGTTTCCCCTCGTCTCCTCTCTTCCTTCCCGTGTTCTCTTCCTCCCTCCTCCCTCTCCTCTTCTTACTGATTCACTTCGGCATTGAAAGCTTTCTTCGATTCCAGTAGCCGCGCCATATCGTCTGGTTTAACGTTAATTGTGCGTAATTAAAGTTATTCCAAGACACTTATATCGCTATAACATTAATATGAAGTATTTAACCTTATATTAGTTTTAACATTAAAACCTTCGTCGAATTCCGAGAGAACTGGGCAGGACAGGGGGTAGTGGAAATGAGGGGTGGGGTATCGACCCTAAATTCTAGGTGTAGGGTGGTAGACATGGTCTTAATTGACCGGGTGATCACAGATAAAAATTACCTCATAGAGGGGGTACTTGTTGTTTGTGGGCAGGGGTAACGACAGGGAGGGGTAGGTATGTGTGTCGGGTCGTTGACGAAGTGTTTTTCGGGGAGAATGCCAACAAAGCCGGCAGCGGTGGAGAACGAGGAGGAGGGAGGGAGGAGGAGGACGTGCCGAGGGGTGAGATGAGAGATCATGATAACATTCAGAGGGATAGCAGGAGGAAATGCTGGAGAGATTAACTTCAACATAAGAAACGTGGCCAAACAAAGTTTATTGCCCCAAATGAACTCTATCTCTCTCCCCCCTCACCTCTAAACGAGCTCATCCAAAACGAGGCCTATCTCGTTGCCTGCGAATCATCTTCATACCTTCAGAGAGTCTGACTGCATCTTGCTTTTCAGTGTTGAATCGTCGAGCGGAATGGGAACCGACGACACGAAACGGCGAAGGAGCTATGCTGCGCCTCCTGCCGCTGTCCTCTGTGGAATATTCGTGCTCGGCATAGGGTCGGGAGTCATCCTGACCTTCATCGCAGCACAAGTTGTTTCTCGTCGATCAGGTGAGTGTGGAGTTATAGTTCTTGTTGTCTTGTATACTCTAACTCTCATTCAAGAAATCCTGGAAGTCAAGCCACAGAAGCTTCGATCCGGCATGCTGAACGCTCCCGGGACCTCACTGAGCCCTGCAGACAAGAAGAACGAGTTCTGGATCGAGACGATCTCTGATCTTCCCGGTCCTCGCATATACGTTCTTCACAACATTCTCACCAAGGAGGAATGTGAGTCGCTCAAGTCGCTGGGGGTGATGGCTGGCATGGAGAAGGCGCTTATCATCCCGTATGGCGGGAAGGAGCTCGTCGAATCATCCACTCGGACCAATACAGCAGCCTGGCTGGAGGTCTGTAGTTGTTTGCTCTTGAGTGTGTGTGTGTGTGTGTGTGTGTGTGTGTGTGTGTGTGTGTATGTGTGTGTGTGTGTGTGTGTGTGTGTGTGTTTGTTTGTGTTTGTGTGTTATCAAGGTCGTGATGTTGATTCGTTTCGGCAGTATCATCAAGGCCCGGTCGTTACCAAACTAGAAAATTTGTTGGCCAAAGTCACCAACACTGAGCCTGAGAACGGAGAAAACCTGCAGGTTACGGCGATTGGAGGATTTTTAGAATCTCTCGATTGACTTGTCAGTGAACAGATTCTTCACTATCAAACATCCCAGCAGTTCAAAGAACATCATGACTATTTCGATCCAGGTGATGGAGAAACATTCCTCTTGCATTGAAGTTGGTTGATGTCTGAACTGCAGCGACTGATCCTCCTGAGAACTTCGAGCCTGGCGGGAACCGGCTTGCAACAGCGATCATCTACCTGCAGAATGCTGAAGAGGGAGGAGAGACTGACTTCATGAAAATCGACACGAAGGTTGTTGATACAAACCCCTCCTCTACTCAACTTGCTAACACGGATAGTACAGGTGAAGCCAGAGGCTGGGAGTGCGGTATGAGCTCTCTATGAACATCCTTGTCCTCGAGTCCTGAGCACTCCCTTCTCCTTCATCTCTTCGTCTTCCCGCCTCTCTTGCCTGACTGACCCCCCCCTGTTAACCGCAGGTTCTCTTCTACGACCTGAAGCCTGACGGCTCCGTGGACAAGCTCACGATCCACTCCGGCAATCCGCCGAAAGGGTGAGAAGCTCGCGTCTTGTCGATGCTTGTTGCCTTTTCCTTCCTCTCAGCAACTTGTGTCCCCATGCTCGCTCTGCCGTGTTTGTTGTTTCTTTCTATTGTCATATCTCACTGTCTTCTCATCTTCACTCTTGATTTCTGGTGACTTTTTCTGTCAGGGGAGAGAAGTGGGTGGCTACCAAGTGGATTCATGAGAGGAGGTACCAAGGGCTTCCCAGGTTTGTTCTTCGATGAGGGAGGAAGGAAGGAAGGAGTCGGTAGTGACGGCGATCAACAGGCATGTAAAGAAGGCGGAGCCGGCGAAGAAGGAGGAGGAAGTGGTGGACAATGGCAAGTCAAGTGCTCCTGTGGATGCGGACACGGCGCAGGGAGCCAAACAGTGAGAGCGATTGGAGGATCTTGTTTCTAAGGGAGGAAGCTCTCTAACAGCTGTAGTTTTGTTTTCTTCTTGCTCCTTCTCTCGTCTACCCTCCCTTCCTCTCTCTGTCCTGTTCCAGCACGAAGAACGGGAATTTCATTGTATTTTTGACGTCACAGGCTCGAAGCTGTGATTTTTCTATTCTTTATTAAACAAGCTGAGGTTGTTGCGGTTTGACATACATAGGTAGAACGACACGAGAGGTCAAGACCAGATCCCCCCACAGAGTTGAAGCAGCAAGAAGCCCTGCTGTCCTCCTATCTCTTCTTCGGGCCCGGCCGAGGGAGATTGAGCCGCTTCCTTTCTTTCCTGCACAATGGAGTGAGAGGAGGTCGGCGGCAAGCAGAGCCCACAGCGTCATCGCCTTCTTCCCCAGCGCGTCGATCCGCTCGCGTTCCAGCAGGGTGAGCGGCCCCTTCTTCTTCCAGAGTGGCGCCTACACGAGGAGGAGGAAGTGGTGGTGGTGGTGGGCGATGACAATGATGATGAGGAGGAAGGAAGGAAGGAGGGAAGGGATAGAGCAAAGTTGAGGTGAGAAGTGGGCAGACGAACGAGGGGGAGGACGGAGGAGCGGAAAAGCAGCAGGGGGCAGGGAGTTAGGAGGAGTGAGGACGGGTGAGCGACGAAGCAGCACACATGAAGAGTATAACTCACCACTTTCTCGACCTTCTTCTCCTGCTTGTTCCTCGCGACCTTGTCGCGTCTCTTGCCTGACCCCGTAAAAGCCTCGGCCTCGTCGATGTACCGCTGAGCTTCCTCTCGCACCTCTGAGCAGCGAAAGTCAAGGAGGACGAGGACGGAGTCGTCCACGTACCTTGCGGGAAACCTTTTTCAGCCTCGCTGCAGAAAGACTCCCATCGAGATTCAGTCAGGTTCTCCTCGTAGACGACAATCTGAGGGGGAGGGTTTGAGCTGCAACAGACTCGCAAGGGAATGGACCGGATCTCCTTCGTCCTTGACCTCATGAAACGGCGAGAAAATGTCGTACACCTTCCCTTCCGTCACGTTGCTGCATGTGCGTCAGCCCCTGGTCTCTGTGAGGGGAGGGAGTACTTCAAAATCATTATTTTCTCATCCCAGGGCAAGGTACAGATGCCTTCAGGATCGGGGGTAGTACTGCAAGGCGATCAAGGGCTTTCCCTCCTGGCATGTCGACGTACCTGCGGGTGGGAGAGGAGACTCGGCTGCGAGCACCGTTCGCCTCCATCAGCATCTCGATGACCTGCAGACAAGGATGAGGAGAGGTCGAGCGTCGGTCAGGCGGCGAGGGCATCATCCACCTTTTGGTTCTCTATCACGGCGTTCTCATGGTCCTGAAAAACGATTGTTGAGCGAAGGAGGAGGGCGGGAAGGAACTAACGTACATGCTCTTTGATGTGCACGGCGAGATCCAAGGGATTGAAGAAACTCGCATCTTGCTGTCCGACCAACAAACTTCAGCGGCAGCCGGTCTCCTGCTCCGCCACCTCCTCCTTCACTTCCATGACCCCCCCCCAACCCCCCACCTCAACCTCCTGCTTACCAGGTGCGGGTTCGCTCCAGCTCGAAGCAGGTCGTAGACGATCCGACAGTCGGATATGGCGACCTGCCCTCGTTCAAATCTCATCCTCTCCCTTACTCGCTTCTCTCACAGCGTTGTGCAGCGGCGTCCTCCCCCTCTCCGTTTGCAGGTTGACGTTTGCGCCGTACCTGGCCAACATTAACAACCATCGGGGGGGTGTAGATGATGTCAAGCTCGGATCTACAATCACATCTGCCTCTGCGGACTGCTACCACATACCAACATTGCCATCATCAATATAGACAATGACTCAACCTGATGAGCAGCGTCACTGCTTTGTGCCTCCCTTGCACGGCAGCCCAGTGTCTGAACAAGGCGATCGAGTCAGGACGGCAGGTGGCAGGGATATTGAGAGGAGACGAACAACACGCGGAAGACTCACAGGGGAGAATCGTGGAAAATGTTCTGATGGTTCACACTGACACCTGACTCTATCAACCGGGTGATCTCATCTACACTGATTCAGCAAAATTCTTCACAGAAAGATTCACGTTCTACCCAAGTCTCCAAATTTGGCAGCTTCCATCAGTTTCCTTCCTTGAAAGTGATACTGACCATGCTCGTGAGAAGAGGGAAGATAACGGCAAGAGTAGCATGATCACAATCTCAACAGCCGACATGCAGCGAAAGTTGAAGTGCTTTGTCTTCATCACTTCATCGTGCAGGGCTCGGCCCATTCTCTGCGAGGGGATCATGAGGGAGGGGCAAGAAGCGGAGTCGCTCACGTCGTTGAACTTCCGATCGTGGAGCCAGCGATGCATTTTCATGTGCTTGAGGAGCTGAAAGAGAATGATCCCCATCCTTTCCCTCCTCCTGGCACTCGTTCAAACCTCAATGTCCTTCGCCTTGTTCGGCCCCACGTACACCTTGTCCCTGACTCTGACGTCAGCAGGGAGCATCACCGCAGGAGCAACGTCAGCACATGTCGAACGGGTCAAGGTTGTCCGGCTGAAGGCACGAGTCAGGCGTCGGCGACTGACATGGCCAGGCAACCAACCTCGTACTCGTCATGGTCGACCTCCAAGTCCGAGAGTGAGAAGCTGCTGTCATCCTTGATCTCCTGATGGCTGGATCAGATGTGACTGCATGCTCCATTACCGACGCCATGCCTCCTTGTGCTGTCTCTCGTTCTTTAAGGCCTCCTCCATCAACCTCAGTGTCCCGTTGAACATCTTCTTCAGGTCTGGGTAGACCTCGTCACTCTTGTTGAACCTGGAGGACACCGCGTCAACAGGAGGAGGTACAAGGATGAGGCAGGAGAGCTCTCCTGTCAAACTGATCCTGCAAGTCTGTCAACCGCACATACTCGTCAGCACGGGGCGGAGAGATCGGCAAACGGCTCACGGTCAAAGATCAACCGGTCGGGATGCAGGTGCTTGTATTCATCCTCCCATGAGGAGGAAGGGTAGAAATCGAGTCCTCCTCGAAGACAGAGAGAAAGTTTCGACACTCCCTGGACTCGATCCAACAAGATGCCGGACGGAACAGCAAAATTCACAACAACCATGCACAGCAGCAGCTTGAGTCGCATCCTGGCTCCAGCTCCAGTCTCCCCCCTTCCCGCTTCGGATTCTTTCCCTCTCCCCACCTCCTACTCTGTTCCCCTTCACCTACCGCTCCGGTTTCTCTCCTCAGTTCCTCTCCCCGTCCGCTTCTCACGCTGCTCCATCCTCTCCTCCTCTCTTTGATTTCCCCTGTGGAGACAAATAAAAACAATTACCGGCCGCATCCTGTACCTATGCAGCTGAGGCTCCTGCCGCTCCTCCTCCTCCTCCTCCTCCTCTCCTGCCCTTCGTTGACCTCACTACCCTCACGATCCTCTGCGTTTGTTCCCTCTCCCGTCGTGCACGCGTTAAGGCGGTGGGACAGCGCATGCTCGCTGCAACCGCAGGCTGTGGAGGACCGGGAAGTGATAACAGCAACCAGACTGTGAGGACCGTCCCACTTCCTCATGGCACTGACGTGCCCTGCAGATGGATAGACGGCTGGGTCGTCGGCCTCAGCCTCTGCCCATGGGCGTGGTTGGTCCGCAAACCTCCCGAGCTCAACCTCTCTGTGATCCGGTCGGAGGCAATGGAGAGGGATGTGAAGTCAGTGGTGATGGCAGCGCGGGAACTGGTGGAAGTTCATTCTCAGATCAGTCGAGACGACGGAAGGAGGGGATTTGCTACCACTCTGCTCATGTTCCCGTCGGAGAAGTACGCAGGAACTGATCCGTATACCCTGGCCAACCCGTCGGACGCTGCAGATCCCTCGGCGATCTGCGGAGATTTCCCGGTGATACTCTCTTTGCATATCTACATGACATGTATCGGCCAACAACTGACTCTACCTTCTTCACAGAGGCTGACACGTCTCTGTCAGGTATCTTGCAATCGTCTGAGGAGGCTGACTGTTGTGGAGGAGGAAATGACATGATCACGCATCTCGTTGGGACTGGGCAGGAAGCTCTTGCTGAAATGCCTGTAGACTTGCTTGCATTCCACCGGTAACCTCAGATGTAAGGGAAAAGAATCTTACATCAGCTTTCAGGTGGCGATTCGATGAGGGTCCTGGCTGTACCTCCGACTTCGAGGATGCTGCTCACTTTTCAGTTCGATCCCCGTAGCATCTTCTTCTCTCTTAGGCTGTCTCTCTTACAGCTGCTTCTAGCTACCCGACCCTTCAACTTCTCGTCAAGGATGACTTGAAGTTTGCTCGCCGGCAATGGGCGGCATGGCAGGTGCGTAATGTCTTCACTTGAAACGATGCTGTGCACATACTATGCTGTCAAGATTTTCATGGATTGCAGTGCTGAGAAGATGATTGAATGCTGCCATGATTATTCAATTGCAGAGAAGAAAGAAGGCTGAGGAGTTGAGCACGTTGGGACTACTGTTCGCCAACAAAGACAAGCTGAGGGCCATTGGTCGTGGTACAGGGACATGTACCATTGGAATCTTATGCACTCATGTAGGTTTCGATGCTCTTGCTCGCCAAATGAGAGAATTTTTGAGTTCAAGGGCCAACTCTTCCGCCAGACTAGAACATTGAGTTCAAGAGCCAACTCTTCCGCCAGACTAGAACATTAGATGCGGCGCAAACAAACAAACCATTAAGAAACGAGAAGAATCCTACTTGGTATCATCTCTCCTACAGAAATTACGGTCTGACAATGTAAATAAACGATTTTTTTTGTTTATGTTCGAAATATTTTACATTTGGAATTTGATCCTTTTACATAATAGAGCAAGAAGCCGCAGTGTCATACGCTAAGCTGGAAGGTACGAACAGTAAATATACTTCAAAACCAAGGCAAACGAAAACTCACGCTCTTCCATCCGTGCAATCTTGGCAGCGGAACCATTGGGCAGTGGCAGGCTTAGTGCCCGGTGGTCGTACAAAACTGCGAAAACACAAGTCATTTCACTTCGAACCCTACAATCGAACAAAACAACTGCTAAAACGAAATCAAACATAATGAAATCTTCAGCTTCTTTTGTCTTGACACATCTCAGAACGATCACATTCAACTCATAGTGCTACTACATTGCGGAGAAATCTACACAAAATATCTCCCATCCTGCAGTATTCAAGACATGGCAGGATCACCTTCGCCCGCATCGTCTGCACGTCGGCAGTTCCCCAGGAACAACAGGCTAATGAGCATGAAGTGAGTAACCAGTGGGTGACGCTAAGAGGAAGTCAAATGACTTGATACCCGTGCATAAGAGGTGTCAGCAGGATTAGCATTCAACGGAACTACAGGAGTAGCGACTGGCACAGCAGATCCATGAACAGGCTGACCATACTAAGAACAAGGTCAAATCTACATGTGACGTAGGATTGTATCATCCTCACCGCCTGATATGGAGGCGGAGGCAGATCAGGAGCAGAAGGCTGGGGGGGTTTGTTCGGCTGCTCAAAGTCCATGCCGCAGGATCCACAGAAGCGACCTGTGATCGCCGCACCGCATCGCGGACAAGGCATTGCGAAAGTTTGGGTACAAAGACAGTTCCACGAGGGGGTGGGGTTGTAACCCGAGAGGTGTAGCTGTTAGAAAACGGTGGGTATTTTTCAGGACAAAAAGGGGGTACTGTCTTATCATTGAAGTATAAGGGGTGGGGTAGGTAGTTTGGAGACGATGAAATTTGAGGGCCTGGCCGTCCAAGAAGTTCGAAACCCGAGAGGTCCGGTGTCTCCGATGGTTATGAGCCCTCGTTTCTTTAGAATGCAATTTTATGAAATTGTACCATGATCCTGTAATAAGGTTTTAATGGAGATTCTTCCCGTACATCGAAGATCTGCTGTCGAACACTCTGTACCAAATACATACATTTATAACACTTTTGAAAGCAGGTACAGGAAATGTAGGGGTAGTGGCACGTGGAATAGATGGTAGGGGTGCTTGATGATTGCACGTGCCCCTACCCCTTCTTCACTACCCCTACCCCTAATTTCCCAGTTATTTGATCCCCTCCATCACCTCTCCGCTATCTCTCTATGTCCACCTGACCACCCCAGCTTTCATCTATGAAACTACCCCATCATGCACCTGGACCCAGATGGACAAGCAGGGGTCTTCCAATAATTCTGTGTTCACGTACCGGTGAGATGTGAAGTATGAAGTAGGGGTACTACTTGTAACTAAAGTACCCCCACCCTTCCATGCCCTTGCAGGGGTCCTTCCCGCCATGCCCGCGCGTACGATCTAAGAGCAGGCGGGCGAGTGAAGTGAAGAACAGAGGAGAACGGCAGGCGAGGAGCAGGGAACGAGAGAAGAGAGAAGAGAGAAGAGAGAAGAGAGAAGAGTGATCGTTTAAAGGGAAGGGAGCTCAAGAGAAGGCAGAGGGAAAGCGAGTGTATCGAGTAGGCCTGTTGGTGTTGAAAACGGCTCACATTTGCAAGAGGGTGTCAGGAATCGAGGTGACCAGGGTTGCACAACCAAAGCATCTGTTCCCCTGCTCCACTTTTGTGGTGTACTACCGCACTCTCAGTCCGAAGAATCAATAGGTCAGTGTCATGAACCCTCCTTGATTGAAGCTGCAGTACTGACTAGGATGTTGTCAGAACAATCAAACAGTCTTGATTTAGACGGAGCCTGATCAACGCAGGTTCACAACTTTTGTCACTGTATTTCTTTCGAATCTCCCAACTCTTTCACAACTTTTGTCACTCTATACTCTCTGTGTTTCTTTCGTATCTCTGAACTCATGGATACGATCTCTTCTGTTGGCTTATATGATGTGTTAGTCTCAATCCCAAGATAATGTACGGAGGGATGCAAATGCCTGTCCTGCCGGTATGTCGAATTGCCAAGTTTTTGAACTCTTTGTTGATGATGTTCTTCCAGCCACCATGGCAGATGGGTATCGATCCTGCTACGGGAGTGCCCTACTACTTCAATGTTGCAACCAAAGTCACGCAATGGGAGTACCCCACCTTGGCTGGTAAACCCGACTCTTCCGGTAAACCACCCGAAGATTCAAAGGGCAAGGAGGGTGGCATGAATGGCAATGGTCCAGTCGTGAATGGCGGCCCCCACAACAGAATGGGGGCTTCCCATCGAATCCCCTCTACATGAATGGCTTCAATCCCTCTCTCAATAACCTGATGGGAAGAGGGCCTGCCCCGCGAGGGAATGGAGGTGGAGGTTCGAACAAGGGATCGAACAAGAACAAGCAGCCTTTTGAGGACCTTACTAACATTCCACATGATGACCAAAGCTCTTGTCCGAAGGAAGTTGTTGAGTGGAGAAAAAGTCATGAAATTACGGTTGCAGGTGGCTGCCCAGGTTGGTTGCTTGAGTTGATGTACCAGAGCGACTCTGACGCATTGTTACAGATCCCTTCTTTACTTTCAGGGAGCTCCCTGTTCCACAAGTACTTCAGGATCAGTTGTTGCGCGCTGGATTCTCTGGCCCATCCGTGATCCAAGCACAAACATGGCCTGCTGCGTTGAAGGGCAGAGATGTGATTGGAGTTGCCAAGACGGGCTCAGGAAAGACTCTTGGGTTCCTTGTCCCAGGTTTCATGCATATCATGAATGATGGACTGAAGAATCCAAGGATGGGACCCTTGATTCTTGTCCTTGCACCGACTCGCGAGCTCGCTACCCAGATTCAAGAAGAGTGCATAAAGTTTGGGTCGTGTATTCACATTCGATCTTGCTGTGTCTATGGTGGTGCGCCCAAGGGACCACAACTGCGTGAGCTGAGAAGTGGAGCTCACATCGTTATTGCAACCCCTGGCAGATTGAATGATTTTCTTGAACAAGGAATGATCAATCTGCAGCAAGTTTCATATCTTGTGTTCGATGAAGCTGATCGTATGTTGGACATGGGATTTGAACCTCAAATCCGCAAGATCCTGGATAGAATTCCTGGGAAACGGCAGACCCTCTTCTATACTGCTACATGGCCGAAGGAAGTCAGAAGACTTGCAAGCGACTTTTTGGACAAACCGTGTATCGTTTATATTGGAGACACAGACACACTTGTTGCGAACAAAGATGTAACCCAAGTCATTAAGGTCATTGATGACAGATTCGGTGAAAAGGATATGATACTGCAGGACATTATTCGAGGAGAGGGTGTTGGATCAAGAATCATAATCTTTTGCTCTACAAAACGTATGTGCGACCAATTAGAGAGGAATCTCAGTCGTATGGTACCCTGCGCTGCAATTCATGGTGATAAAGACCAAGGACAGAGAACTAGAATTCTCAATGATTTCAAGGCAGGACAATGCTGCGTAATGATCGCTACTGATGTTGCGGCAAGAGGCCTCGATATCAAGGAGGTCAAAGCAGTCATCAACTACGAATTCCCAAGCAACACAGAAGACTATATTCATAGGATTGGAAGGACAGGTCGTGCTGGAGCAAAAGGGACTGCTTACACTTTCTTCACAAAGAAGGATGCTTCCAAAGCTTCTTCGTTGATCAAGATTCTCGAGGGGGCAGGCCAGGAGGTTCCACCTCAACTTCGAAATTTCTGTTTTGGAAGCTATCAACAAACAGGCAGCAATATGCAGTTTGGATCAGGATACTCCCGGGGCATGCCTAGACCTCGAGATGATGACAAATTTGGAAGAGAGACAGACCGCTTCGGTGACAGGTCCGACAGCAGTAGGGGATTTGCTGCAGAACAGGACAAGGTCAGGGGGCGCAGCCGCAGCCGCAGTCGAAGCCGAAGCCGTGGTAGAAGTCGCAGATCTCCACGATCTCGCTCTGATCGCAGCCCACGTCATCGCTCCCGATCACGATCTGCGGACAAAAGTCGCTCGAAGCATAAGAGATCTCACTCGAGGTCTCCAAAGCGCAGCAAGAGATCGAGGTCGCGAGGCAGGGACAAAAGCAAGGAAAGGGAAAAGGAGAAGGAAGGTGAGAACGACCGGGACAAGGAGAAGGACAAGGAGAAAGACAGGGAAAAGCACAGAGACCGTGATCGGAGTCGGAGCAGGGACAGGGACAGGGACAGGGATCGTGACAGGGACAGGGACAGGGATCGTGACAGAGACCGGGACCGAGATCGAGAAAGAGACCGTGATCGTGATCGCGACCGAGAGAGAGATAAGGATCGTGACAGGGAAAGGGATCGTGAGAAGAGCAGGAGGTCAAGGTCCCGCTCACATCACAAAAGGAGTAGTCGTGACAGGAGCTCTAGTCGTCACCGCAGGCATTGAAGGAGCTGAGATCCTCAGTCTGCACTAATTATCGTGGCCGTGATACAGCAATAGTGTCTAAGTAGCTCATAAACTATGAATCGCTGCAGAACGAATCGGCCAAAGGAGGAGCCAACCAGCAGGCTTAACTTTACTAGAACATCGGGCTCACTAGTTCACTTCTACAGGTCCCGTCAAGCACTGTTCTCTCGGCTCAGCACGCTTCCTTCTATACTCCGCAGCGTCTTCATGAACCCTCCGACAGACGAACTCAAACAGCGGGGTCAAATACTCCTGCTGTCTAAGGACGGCGAGCTCTTCGATCTGATCCATTGGTTTGTTGAAGCACAGCGTCCCATGTTTGATATAGGTCACGTGGGTCCCCCACTCCTCAAGCCCATCAAAGATATGAGTTGAGAACAGGATAGTCACCGATCTTTTCTCGTTTTCTTCCTGGAGAAACTGAAGCAAACTCTGTCTTGCCAGCACGTCAAGATCGGTAGTCACCTCATCCAAGAGGAGGATTGCAGAAGGTTTCAAGAAAGCAAGCAGGAGTTGAACTCTGCGCTTCTTTCCATCACTGAGCTGGTTCACACGCCAGTTCAAGTCGATATGAAACTTATCCACGATCATCTGCATCCTGTCACGGTCCCAGTCCGATAACAGGTCCAGCATGCTCCTGACACTGCAGTCCCCCCTTGGCTGCCACCTCTCACCAACAATAGTGCATTCTCCTTGACGCCAGATGTTGGTCCCACAGATGATTTCAACAGATCCACTGTTGCCAAGTCTGTTTGGCACGTATGCCTCCTTTCCAAAAACCTTGACACTTCCTTCGTAATGATACATGCCACCAACGATTCGAAGCAAGCACGTCTTTCCTGCCCCGTTGGCACCTACTACGATTGATCGACATCCTTGTGGGAGGTCCATGCTCACGTCACTCAGCGCTCGTTCACCAGAGGGCCATGAGAAGCTGGCGCTTCTAAGGGAAATGGCGGATTCATTCATGGCGCTCAAAGATAATATGTGGTTGACCGAGAGATCCTGTCAACAAGAACACTTACGATGGATAAGATCAGAACTGAGACGCAAGCTATCAAGTTCCCGTGCTCTAGCTCTGCTTGCCTATGCCTGAACCTATGCCTTCCTGCAACGAGCCAAGACGGTGTAGCGTAAGAGAAGGAGAAGCACGCAATGGGGAGATACAAGGAGGAGCGTGAGGGATCGGGGTCCTTGTACGTGCAGGGAGAGCTGACTACCGGTGCTTTTGAGCGATTTTACAAGAGAAAGGACGCGGTGGTTAGTGGACCCCACCCTCACAAGATCAGCAATATTCTTCTAGATTATGGGTGGGTGAAGTGACCCACTCACAACACCATTTATGGTAGAGAGAGGAGGGTGGGGGGGGTTGGGGGAGGGTAGGGTCATGGACCCACCCCCAGAAGATCGTGCTTTGGACCTAGCATGACCAGTGTAAAACCGTTGTGTGCTCAAAATTTCTCTATAACGGTCAACACTTAAACGTAACGGTCTGAAACGCCCAATTAAGTTTAACTAATAATGATAGTAGAAATTCCTTTCAGTTTTGAGAGAAAAGGGTCTTCAAATATACTCCAGATATTTCAAATTTATTTCAAAATAATCGAAATCGAGAGCCGGACAGCTGTCAGGGCTCAACATGGTGCTGGAAGCAACGGTGATCTGGTATGGCCGAACATGAAATCTTGCAATACTTTCGAGGAACACATGTCTTTCCTGATGATGTTTCTTGTTTTTGGAGTTCTGATCATGTTCTTATAATCTGAATTTGTTGATAGTTATGATAATTGTTGTTTTTGCAATGTTTTAAATTTTCAATTGGTCATGCTTAATCTTCATCGCGTATGGAATGAATTCTGTTGTTTGGAAGAAGATTTCGTGCATTGCACAAGTGTTTCTCATTATATTCGTGGTTTGCGCTGTCTGACTAACATTTTCTTTCTTGACAGTGTGGACAACTCTGAGTGGATGAGAAATGGAGATTATCTTCCGACTAGGATGGAGTCTCAAGCTGACGCAGTCAATCTCATTTGTAACGTGAAAACCCAACAAAATCCTGAAAGTACAGTTGGAGTGATGACTATGGGAGGACGAAGGTAGAACATAATTTGCTGTGTACTTGCACTGATTCATTTTTCAAGCCCTGAGGTTCTTGTGACACCGACTCATGATCTGGGAAAGATCCTCACTGCTCTTCACAATGTCAAGATTACTGGCTCTTGCAATTTCTGTTCCGCTATTCAAGTAGCTCAGCTTGCGTTGAAGCATAGGCAGAACAAGAATCAGAGACAGCGCATTGTCGCATTCGTCGGCAGCCCACTTGAAGATGATCAAAAAGATCTTGTGAAGCTCGGCAAAAAGCTCAAGAAGAATGATGTCGCTGTAGACGTTGTCAATTTTGGTGAGACGGCAGAAAATCAAGAGAAGCTTGAGGCATTCATCGGCGCGGTGAACAAAAATGAAAATAGCAACCTTTTGACCGTCCCTCCCGGGCCTCACATTCTTTCGGACATCATTATCTCTTCAACAATTTGTAATGACAAAGATAATCAAGGCATGATGGGAGCTGGCATGGGAGGTTCGAGCATGGGTGGTGGATTTGAGTACACCGATGACGCGATGTACCCGGATCTTGCCATGGCTCTTCGTATTTCTGCCGAAGAAGAAAGACAGAGGCAGGAGCGCGAGGCCAAAAAGGCTGCAGAAGAAGGCAAACCTGCAGAAGGCGGATCGACTGAACCAGCAGCTGCCTCTGCTCAGGAGACTTCAATGTATGAAGACGATGACGATATGCTTCAACAAGCGCTGGCCATGTCCATGCAGCAGGCACAACCGAATGCTAGCACATCAGAAGCTGCTAAGGAGGGTTCAAGCGCAAAGGCGACAGGAGGGGCTGAACCCATGGAGGAGGACGACGAGCTTCAGAAAGCACTGCAGCTCTCGATGGCAGGTGACACAGGTTCAGGTGCTGCTGCCCAGGGTCTCTTGCAAAACGCTGAGTTCCTGACCAACGTTCTTTCATCCTTGCCTGGTGTTGATACCTCGGATCCCCGTGTTCAAGGAGTTCTTGTCGGGATGAAAGGAGAAGATGGAGAGAAGAAGGGAGACGAGAAGTCGGGCGAGGAAAAGAAGGATGATGAGATGAAGGATGGGGCGAAGTAGAGCAGCTTGTTGGAAACTGAGCTTCGGTGCGTAGGGCAGCTGTCAAAACCTGAAACAATCTCCTTGAGGAATTGTCAATATATCACAAATTGTCGTTTCGATTCTCTGTGCTCGTGTTGCAATTTTCACAAACTCGTGGGTGAAAAGAATCCTCATTTCATTTTTCGATTCTAAACCTCTAAAAGATCATTTGCCGAACACTTGCAGTTTCAGTCCAGATTGAAACGCAGTAAAAAGTTGCACATCATCTCAGTATCTTCTTGTTCCTCTGCACCAGTTGCGATGCTTCCCATGTTGCCTCTGAGTTTTGCGGTTTCCACACGAAGGCACAAAATTAAAAAACGGAGGAGGGACCTCTTCGAAACCTTACAGTCAACCATCTTGAAAATCTCGTCGTAGTTTGCTTTGACAAGATTAAATGTGGATTCTCCGCGTGAAGCAAATCTTGCGTCAAAGATAGTTATAATCTCATTCTCCTCATCATCACTTGTCTCATCGTGATCATCCATCTTCTTGCTCCCAGTCTCTTCGTCCTCGTCCTCGTCCTCGTCCTCTTCCCCCTCCATACTATATGTAAGACTCATTTCTTCTACAAAGCCCTCATTGTCATCTTCATGCCAATAGCACTCCATAGTTACAAGAACGGTGCCCGCAACTGATTCGATTGCTATTGTGTTGCATACACTGCAGTATTCGTGCCGAGGACCAAGAGTCCAGTCCTTATCCTTGGATTTCGTGTGGGAGACGACAGCACACTTGGAAAAGAGCTCTTTCAAATGCTTCTTCTCTTTCGTTTCGAACAGGACCTTTTCTCCATGATGAGAAAGAACTCTTTCGAACATTTTGTTCAGAGTGGCCGTGTAAAGCATGTTCCTCACTCCTTCTTTCACCTTCAACACGAGCATTCAGCACGTTAGCGTCCAAATATCTAAAAGGGTACCTGATCAAAAGCTTCTTCTAGCTCTTCGACAGTCTGAAGCTCTTCGAAGACAGACAATGTATTCCCCACTACCAACTCTACCGGAGAAGAGTCATGTAGCATTTCGCAACCTCCATCACAGGATTCATCGTCGCAGCAGCCTTCATCGATAATTTCTGCAGGAGTTTCCTCCTTCTTCAAACCCTTCTTTGTCCTCTTCGTCGATACTTCATCGCTTGTAGATTCTTGCCGTCTCTTGTTCTCTGTTTTCTTGGTCATCGCACCTAACATGCAAGATATCAGCGGGAGTTCCTAGAGTTTCATCCATGTCAGGCATGCAGACGTTGTGGCTATCTGTTTCCGCCGATCCTACTTCCTTTCGTTGGCTTCTCTCATCAAGCATCAGCTCTCCTTCCTTTGCTTCGCCCTATCAAACTAGCCCTTGTGCCTTCCCTTGCGACAAAGGAATCTTTCGCAGCTTCACGTGCCGCAGTTGCGGCAAGTCACCCCCCCGGGCCCGCAGCCTCTCCATCGGGCCCCGGCGCGGCGCCGCTCCCGAGTCCACAGGCTCAGTGGGCGCGGCCCGGCCGAAGCGGCTTAGTTAGTTATAGTTACTAGTTAGTCGATTGACTCCAGGCTCGCCGGATGAATGGCCGCCAGGAGGCGAGGCTCCGAGGCTCAGTGACTGCCACCGTGGCCTCAGTCGGAGTCACTCCGGCGGTGCACTCAGTGCGGCAAGACGGAGTCCGGCGGACTCCCCGGGCCCGGACCGTTGACGCCGGGTACGGTCAACGGAGTCACGGCCGGGTGCCCTCAGCCGGCAGCCTGAGACGGACGGTCCATCGCCATGGCCAAGTTGGCAGTGGGCCAATCATGACTACCGGTTTCAAGTTGGTTCTCGCTGTCTTTCTTTTCTGAGTCGCCGTTTGGCCTGTGCGACAGTGTCAGGTTCAACGTCCAAGCCTGAGTGACCGGCCGGGCAGGTTCAACCGTCCGAGTCAGCCTGTACGGTACGGTACTCCAAGTCAGCAGTGGCACTCCCGAAGTTCAGGCAGTCATCACTGAACTGAGGCTCTACACTACCTACTTTTTACTCAAAGTTAAGTTAAAAATCAGTACGAGGACAATAACTCCGCTGCCAGCAGTTAGGAAAGGCCGGGCCACACACCTGGCAGTGCGCTATAATTCACCAACAAAGCCCCCAGCCCACCCACCCCTCGAGCCCCCGTTATGGCTCCATGCTCCTTCCCCACCCCCACCCCCAGAGTCCCATTCCTTTACCCCCAGTTTGGCTCCATTTCACGTTACTTCGGCGTACCCAACCCATTCATAATGAGCAACTTATTTTTTTTAACCCACCCTACACATGATTGTGTGAAAATGGGGGTGGTATCCGTCTCTCACAAACTTTTTTTTGCGATTACCACTGATTTTACTACGAGCATCGCTCTACACTTGCCTTCAACAGCTACGTGCCTGAGTTGCTCCTGCTCACCTCGCTCTCCTCTCCATCTTCCCGCCAGTCAGTCAGTCAGTCAGTCAGTCAGTCAGTCGGTCAGTCAGTCAGTCAGTCGGTCAGTCAGTCAGTCAGTCAGTCAGTCAGTCAGTCAGTCAGTCAGTCAGTCAGTCAGTCAGTCAGTCAGTCAGTCAGTCAGTCAGTCAGTCAGTCAGTCAGTCAGTCAGTCAGTCAGTCAGTCAGTCAGTCAGTCAGTCAGTCAGTCAGTCAGTCAGTCAGTCAGTCAGTCATCTTTCTCACTTCCTCCTTACATCCCCGCCACTTCCCTTTTCTCTCCAGATTCATGAGTCTTGAATTTCCGGCGGCCGAAGATGTCTTTCTCCCAGTGCTCCCCGACGACCTCTTGGTCATCGATACCACCTGTAAAGACCTCCATCAGCTTCTTCAGCGATCGCTCATCAGGTCAAAGCCCCAAGGCCGAGCCTGTACCCGCTGTCGTCGTCAGAAGCTGCGATGCGACCGGCTCAGGCCGTGTCTGACTTGCTTGACACGGGGTTGTCGGGAAGAATGTGATGCAGAGATGGGTGCTACCTCCTGCCTTGCTTGCAAGACATCAAAAACAAGGTGCGACAAGATTCGGCCTTGCTCGACGTGTGTAGCTCGCAGGAGGCCGGAGGAATGCAGAAGCGGGTCCAAGCCCAGGTCGAAGCAGTCTAGGACGAAAAAGACTGCCCCTTCCTTGGAACGAACGCCCTCGCCATTGACTCCGATGACTATCAGCGGACTTGAGACTCTTCGCCCTCTTATCGTCCTTTCGTCGAGGTCCGGCTACAGTGAGTCGTCGGTCCTTCGGCTCATCAACGTCATGGGCCCCGGTTTCCGGACAGTCTTGAGCGCCATGGCAGCTCTGGTCGCCGACCTAAACGCCGTCCGTATCCGCAAAGGTGAAGCTCTACTTGACGGTGACGAGATGCCCTCCCTCCTCTCGCGGCCACACGTGCGAACAAAAGGAAGCAGATGGGCTGCCTGGACGGTGCACTGCGGCGCAGGAGGGGGCGAGCGGGAGAGGATCGAGTTTGAGAGGGGGCTGGACTTCCTGTGGCGGGACGATCTTCCTGAAATGACTGAAGGAGACGAGAGTCGTACGCAAAGGCTGGTTGAATGTGAGCCAGGGAGGATGGAGCGAGAGATGCCGACGTCCGACGTAGAGTATCTGTGCATGCTCGTAGACGAGCTCCTGTCCTACAGGAATGCTCGGACAGTCATGTACCACAGGCTGTGCGGCAGGTCGGTAGCAGGGCTACTTGAAGACACCATCCTAGTGCGATACACTACCGTGAAGGAGGAAGATGAAACTGGACGTCTGGTGAACAGCTCACACCTGCTGGAGGCGCTTGAGGCCGAGGAGTGGGAGCAGGAACAGCGAACCCCCGCAAACAGGTGAGGAGAGGATGAATCTTGTGAGAGAAGAAGGGGAGAGAGGAAGAGGAGAGAGGAAAGGGAGGGAGGAAGGGGAGGGAGGAGGAGGAAAAGGTGCTCACGGGTTTTGTTTGGCAGGTCCACGTACCTGCAGCTTCGAAGCTACTTGGGAGAGGAGCCGACAGGCGAGGAGGTCACGAGGGCGCACCGGACGGACATGGTGAGAAGGAGGCAGGGACCAGCTGTGAGGAATGGGAGCTGACCATAAGATGATACAGTTGTTCGAGGAGGACTTCAGCAGCATGGCACAAACATTGGAAGGGCAGCAAAGGATGGAAAGGATGCACTTGTTCATGGCAGAGAAGCATTCAGAGCTGGCAAGCATCGGATTCAGCCATGATGTTTTCATTCAAGACGACAGTTCAATTTGTAGTAGCATCTCTCCAGAATTGAGCATGATATTGTGAAGGTGAAAGAGAGATTCAGTAATACACGAGATCGCAGTAAAAAAGACACATTACAGTAATTAAATTGGAATTGGGACATGAAACACTGTGTCAGGAAGGAGGAGATCTTCAACACACGGAGTCTGTTCTTACCTCGGACGACAGTGTATTGAAATACACCACCCTGTCATCGGAGGATCAGTAGAACGAGTCAAGGGATTTCAGTCTGATAGGTGCAAGTTCAGAGCGCAGCAATAAAATAGTTCTTGTAGCATGAGAGAGTCCGCAGCATGACAACCAGTGTCAGCTTTGTCTTGACATCAACATTCAGTCGAGTATGGAAGAAACTTGTCATGGTGGTATCGCTGCTGCTCTGTCATAATTTGACTGTTTAATCACGTGACAGGACAATGATAGTCGGCTGGTCTACCCACCACCTCAAGTCTTGCGACACGTTTACCCTCCTTCTCTTTCTCTCCTCTTCATCAGCCCCCTCCGCCTCCATCTCCCCCTCCGCCTCCGTCTCCTCCACCACCGCCTCCCCCTGAAACAAAAGTCAATCGATGCAAGACTCACGAGTCAGCCAGGTGTATCAAACCTTGCGCAAAGAGAGCTCCAATCTGCTCGACGTGTCAACGAGAGAGTAGATAAAAAAGTCACAACACCTTGCATGCTGGAAGTGTCTGAAAGACGATCAATCCTGGGCCCGTGTACTCCGTGTTGAACAGGCCCTGCCATGGACAAACTCGTTACATCATGTCTCCTCCGCAGCTCAGCCAACCTTTCCCCGCAAAACATCATGGCGCAACCTCCAGCTCGTCGGATGCTGACTTGAACAGAAGAGGACACCGCAAGCATGCAATCCTGCGGGTACATGATCCTGTCCCTTCATCCCACCCTGTCATGTACCGTATCAAGAATGTACTTCTCCCCAGCAGCAAGGGTCTTCGTAATGATCTGCAGACCCTGTCAGTCAACTTATCACATCCCTTACTCCTTGCAAGTTCACCGTCCCGCTCCCGCAGAGGAAGCAGATGCCGTTGCCTGCGGGTCCGTCACCTCCACACGCGGCAGCAAGGGGGCATCATCACCGAAGAGCTTCGTCTGCAACAAGTTCCCTTGACCGAGACACTCCGTGAGCGATCGAGGGAAGAAAGTCTCAAACCGCAGCTCGCTGTTGACAACCAGCGTCAGACATTCAGAGGCGTTCTGTGCTATTGTACCTCCCCGTCGTGGCGAGGAAGGAGCCTTTCTGAATGGTGATGCCGCTGGTACAATACCATCACCAACACAGCAGCATTAACGAGCAAAGAGATCACGAACAACGGCTTACAGCTGCGTTTGACACGAAATGGAGGGAGGGAGGGAGGGAGGGAGGGAGGGAGGGAGACGAGAAGAAGGGATGGAGGAGGGAGTGAAGAGGTTCTCAGTTTTTACCTGTAGACTGACAAATCGATGGGGATGACCTTGGAGGGGAACATGGATGTTGCTGAGAGAAACTTGACTGTTGATGACTCATTCTTCCACTTCAATCTGAAGATATCCTCGCTCGCCATGAAGGCTCCGAATGGATTTCGCAATGAGGTGCTGGGCTTCACTCCTTCGTCTGCGTGCACCATGCTCCCCGGTTGCATCATCACTTCCTGAACCGCAGCATATGAGTCGCCCAAACTCTGAGAGTTTCCTCACACCTGCCCAGGCTCAAGCTTGAAGACTATCAGTTGCGAGTCACTGCCAACGATTTGCCATGGAGCTGAGAGGACAAAGAGGGAGAAAGAAGGGTCACTGAAGCACTCGAGTAGTGATGTACTACCTCCTCGGAACGACAGCTTCGAGCAATCAGGAAGAGTATTCAGCCCGCTCATGTCCAGTGGAGCAAGCGCCTGGGCAACCTGGCAGACATCGAGTCTCAACCAAAGTACTCGATTGGTTGGAAATTTTCAGGTCACCGGAATGCCCTGAGCCCCTTCGACTGGACGCACGCTCATCGTGACAACAACAAATTGTTACGAGGCTCGAGATCGATCCTGTACAATCGTCATGAATAGTTTCCTGGTCTTACTTCAACCCGGGCCTGCCTGTCTGCCTTGCTCCCTCTCTATCTCTATCTTCTCTGTATTCCTCCTTCTCTCTCTCTCTTTCTCTCTCTTCTCTGCCTGTCTGCCATTGCTCTCAAAAATGTAATTATTAGTTTTACAACACAACAATGTCGTACTGATTTTAACAATAAAAGGGGCGAGTACATTGTTTGGAAAATTTACTTCAAGTACGGGTGGTATGATTCTGAATACCCCACCAAGGATCTTGAGTTTTCAGCTGTTTAGTAGGTTGGGGTGACAAGTATGTATCCACCACCACGGGTAGTCAGTGTATATATATGAATTGACAATCGCCTTGGGTTTTCATCAGATTTAAAATGATAAACTTGTAAAATCTACTAGGGAGAAACTGCAAATTGTTTTTAAATTTAAAACAGATGCACCGCTACAGCTTTGTGGTACAAATGACCGAATTTATAAAACCTTTTCACTTGTCCAGTACAAGTTTTATTAGTACACTTGGGAGGCATTACGGTCTCATGTACGACATGGCCCACTTGCTAAAGCTCATGCTCTGCACGTAGATGGTGCCAGGACCTGACGAGCCGTCATATCCCTCCCTTCCTTCCTCCCCCCCCCCTCCCTCCCTCCTTCCCTCCCTCCGTCCCTCCCTGCTCCGACCTCTCAATCTCTCCGCTCCTCTCCCTCCCTCCCTCGTTCTCCCTGATCCCAAGGGATCCCTTCAATGGTGCTTCACCTGTGAATTTGGCAGTGCAGAATCCCATGCCACCGCAACAGACTACTCCAGGTCCACCCGCACATGCTCCTTCCAGTTTCACCTGTCACCGTCAAGTTACTCCCGACATCGAAAAGCCAGCAGAATCTGCACTTTCTTGTCCCAAGCGAGCAATGCAGTTGTTTGCACGACAACTACGACGTGTCAGCACATAATAAATCGTGGCAATAGAAGTAAAGATAGTCAAGAGCTGCACCTGATTCGCCTTCTCTCAAAGTCTTCTTCATAACCGTACCTGTTCGCGAGCGGTCATATCCAATAACATACACGTCTCCACACAGCAACGGCTTCTACCTCCTCCAGCGAGGAAAGAATAACCACTACCCACGAGGGATGGGATGCAGCATCTGCATCAGCCGATGCCAAGGTCACTCTCTCACACAAGACCAGATTCATCGAGTACCCCAGCCCAAGACAGCAACACTGACTGAAGCTAGGCATGCATCTGACATGGTTGTCAGTGATACACGTGCGCATTCTCTCTTCCACTCACGAAACATTGAAGTCTGCATCCCTCCCTACAGATGCAAGCCATGACTGGCGGGTGATGTACAGGCCACTGCAGTGGAGCAGTGAGGGTGAAACCGATCAAAGAGAGCACAAGGATCAACCTAGTATGCTCGTTCATCGACACCGGGATGATCTGATATTCCAATGAGTGCCGACAGACGAAACAACTTGAAGAAGAGCTAGCTCACCTTGGATGGGTAAGGGGGCGAGACTGTCACATGCTGCATCGCACTTAGCACACAAGAAGCCAGTCAACGTTGCTGCATGAGACCTCCAGCCGGCCGTTGACGTTCTTGTAGTGCGTGCGACAGCACAGCTCTCCAGCACACCAGCACCGTTTGCATCCGTTGAAGCAGCCCCCTGCAAAAGGCAATACGCCAGTGAGTCTTCGCTGTCTGCTTTCATGCTCTTCTCATGAGGTTACCTGTGGTGAGCTCCGGCTCTACCGTACCCGTGGTGGAGACCATAGCTCCTGGCTGGCACATCACTTCCTGCAAGCACAAGTTACTGACAGTCAAGTCCGTCACCAGCTCCTCTTCTACCTGTCCTTGTTGCAGTACCGCCAGCAACGCCTGTATGTCATCGCCAACCACTTGCCAACCTTCGCCCTTGATCAACATGTGTCAGTGTCGATCATGGTTTTGCACCATGTCACAGCAAACCTGCTCATTTGAGATGCCGGAAATAGTGAAGCCTGACTCCTTCACGATGGGGTCTACAGGGAACGAGTAAGGCATCAATGTTATCTTACTAGAAATTCTTCTACCATCGTTCATGGTAAGAGGAGTGGGAGGCATATACGACATGCCTTGTTGCCCTGCGAACGCGCCGACTTAGTCCAGTCAGAGCGGATCAAGTGAGAACAAGAATGACACTATATGGTGGGTCAAGTAAGTTTTTGGCATTGTGGTAGTAGACTCAGTAGAGGACTTTTAGGCTATGACGATGAATGATTGTTAGACATGCTTGCTGTAACTGCCCGCAGTGCAAGGCGCTCACGATCACGATGCAACTGCAGGGGAGCTGAGATGAAGCCATGATCGGATCAACGGTAAGAGAGCGGCAGGGAACACCAAGACGTGTAGCGAGGAGGGAGGAGCAAAGCGAAGCAGCGGGGACTGTGGAAAAATAATTTTTAAAGATTTGCTTTTAAAATATGTAAAATACTTGTTGACACTTATAGAATGCTTTAAAATGTGGTACTGTTTTACAAGTGGGTGAAGTGCAATGGCGAGAACAATGTTTCTTCATGCCGGGATGGCGACGGGCAGGAAAGAATGGGGACACAAGGAGACACAAGATGGGGAGTGTGAGATTGTTCTTGAAGGAGGAGTGCACGATGAGGTAGTAGAAGTACGTAGACAACAAGTGCGAAGGGATAATGCTGGAGGGAGTAAGAGGAGGAATTACACGTATAGGGGAATATGATGTAGGGGGACAAGGAGTTGCTGTGAACTCCAGGAATGGAAACACTTGGAAGTATTCCGATGAAATCCAAGAGTACGACGTTTGTGTTACAAGATTTTCTGCAGGATAGTCTTGCGGTACAAAGGCTCTTAGGCAACGATCTTGTCCTCTGCTGCTTCGAACGGCTTTTATGTTTTCTGCTCATAGCACATATGATGTTGCATTCATGTTGAAATCTTTCTAAAAGATCTGAGTGTAAGTTGTTGAGACTGACTTCGCCTTCAGACAAGCGTTGTCCAGCATGTCCAACTACATTCCGAGCGCGGTGGCCAACATCGTCGCTGTTCCCGTGCAAATGTCCATGGATGGACAGTCTCCCCTGGAATCCTGCGGATGGGAGGCAGTAGACATTCACTCGCACGGTGAAAACTGGAGTGTGGTTGGCGAGTCTACTCAAGTTCTCATGGCGAAGCTCCTCAGCGAGCAGGTTTGTGAGCTTGTCTTACGGTAGCTGTATGAGACTTGATGCACAGGAAGTGCTGACGGAGCCGGGGGGGATGATGATTCACTCCTCAGGCATCAAGCCGTCCATGAACATGGGAGGACTGTGGTTGGGTATACGTCGAGCGTTCTGTGCTGGGGAGTCGTGCTGTCGCGTGCAGTGGAAGAATCATGGTGAGTCGCACTTGAGGAAGGGGCTCGGTTCAAACCTGTTGTTTCCAGAAAGTCAGCCCAAGATCATGACGATTCATCCCTCCTTCCCGTCCAAGGTTGGTCGGGAGGTTTGCCGGACAAGCACGCTCACAGTCAGTGCGATTGAGCAGGTTGTGCCGGTCAACCTGGACGAATTCCAGGGATCCATGTACATGAAGCGAGCAGCCTGGATGGCTTCACTGAATACGTGAGTTAGTGCGCTTCTTCAAAGATGATGGCAATGACGACCAAAACTTGACAGACAACTGGAGTTTGACATCAAAATGGCTCCATCCTGTACAGCTGCTTGGTGTGCGGGGCAGGTCTCCATTGGCATCGTTATGTTGCTGGGTCTGACGTGCTCGTGGGGACCCGTCAGGGTTGCTGCTTGACCCTGGTCAAGGGTCGAGGACTCACCTTTCTCAATGTTGGCGGAACAGTGCTGAAGAAAACTCTGAGAGACGGTTGCTACTTCCCGTCTTCCCTTGACTTGAGCTGAGGCCCGTGCAGGTGAGAAGGTTTTCATCGACACGTCTGCGCTGGTTGCCTGGGCCACGACGGTGATGGTTCGCTCCTGCTACCACCCTTCATTCTCTGTTACAGGCCACCATCAGCGCGGAGCGAGCGGGGAACTGCTGCACCATTGTCAGGGTGTGCAGGAGAGGATGAGGGGACTGACTGGGTTGCTGCAGTGTTGTGGTGGGATGGGGTTGGCCAACACGACCATCACTGGTCCGGGAGTTGTCTACATTCAGAGCATGTCGAGAGAGAAGGCTGCGCAGGTACAATGACCGTGCCTAGGGTGCTGCCGCGTCATTGGGACATGTAACGGCTGTCAACAGGGATACATGATGGCTGCTCGCGCAAACAGCAAGTAGATCGCTTCCTGGCCCTGATCCTCACATCTAAACCTTTTGATGTGATTCACAACTCGGCCCTTGACCTCTACACCTGGGATTCGGGAACGACAGTGCGGGACTGGCACGTCAGGTTCCGAGGCATCCGAGAACTCAGGAGCCGCTAAGGGCTCCGAACTTCGGCGGATCCAGAACTGAATAAACTGATCATAGCCTGATGCCAAGTGAATCTCAGGCTCTCAGACTCACTCACTCACTGCCATGACTGACAGTTATCAGTCACCAGGCACTCAGGCTGTGTTGGTATGGATGTTCAAACTGATACTCGTGCTTACTTTAACAGCTGCCACTCTATGATTATTGACCGAACTCGGGAAGGACTTGAAGTGTATCTCAGTGTGACTCGTGATTTACTCATGAAGGACAAGTGAGGCTAACTAAGGCTAGGGCCGCAGGGAGAGATTACCATATCAAGTCCGCCTCAGAGAGATATAGGAACAAAAGAAGGGGCAGTGAAAAAACTTACTACAAGGGTATATATATGACCATCGTCCCATGATAGGTTTATAATAGTTTTAATCATCGGAGCGCACGTGAAGGGAGGAGGCAGGCAAGCCCTGAGGAGCAACAGGAACAAGAAGGAGAAGGAGAAGGAGAAGGAGAAGAGGTAGAGGACGAGGAAGCACATCAAGGAAGACAAGGACAGACAGCTCAAGGACCTTGTCTCGTTGTTGCCACTCGTTTCTTGGACTGTTACTTGAGGCCCTTACCTGACTCAACCCTCACCATGGTTGTGTACAACTTCAAGAAGATCGCCCCTGTCCCGACGTCCAAAGATTTCGTCGATGTTGTGCTCAGCAAGACCCAGAGACAAACGCCGACGGTTGTTCACAAGCAGTATGCCATCGGGCGAATCAGAGCCTTCTACATGCGCAAGGTCAAGTACGCGCAGCAGTGCTACGAGGAGAAGATTGCCCGCATCCTCGATGAGTTTCCTCGGCTGAACGACATTCACCCCTTCTATGCAGACCTGATGAATGTGCTGTATGACAGAGATCACTACAAGCTTGCTCTTGGTCAGCTCAACATGGCACGAGGGCTCATAGACAAGATAGGAAAGGACTACCTGAGGCTCCTCAAGTTCGGCGACTCCCTGTACCGCTGCAAGCAGCTCAAGAGAGCTGCGCTGGGTCGCATGTGCACGTTGATGAAGAAGCTCAAGTCTTCGCTGGAGTACCTCGAGCAAGTCCGCCAGCACTTGGCTCGCTTGCCTTCCATCGACCCCAACACGCGCACCCTCCTGATCTGTGGATTCCCCAACGTCGGGAAGTCCTCCTTCATGAACAAGGTGACGAGAGCAGATGTGGAGGTGCAGCCGTACGCGTTCACCACCAAGTCGCTCTTCGTCGGCCACATGGACTACAAGTACCTTCGATGGCAGGTGATCGACACGCCAGGGATCCTCGACCACTCGCTGGAGGAGCGAAACACGATCGAGATGCAGTCGGTGACGGCGCTTGTGCACCTCAAGGCGTGCATCCTCTACTTCGTCGACCTCTCTGAGCAGTGCGGGTACTCGATCAAGCAGCAGGTCTCTCTCTTCCAGAACATCAAGCCTCTCTTCGAAGGGAAGCCCCTCATGGTGGTGCTCAACAAGAGCGACATGAAGACCGTTGACCAGTGCTCGCCGGAGGAGCAGGAGCTTGTGAAGACGATGCAAGGGGCCAACGTCCAGTTTATCACCTGCTCGACTCTCACGGAAGAAGGAGTGACGGGGCTCAAGACTGTCGCCTGCGACGCTCTGCTCACTCATAGGGTCAACACTAAGATTTCCCGCGCCGAGAAGGCAGGAAAGGAATCTAGCGTGCTGGACGGGATCCACGTTGCCATGCCGGAGAATCGAGACACGTCCGAGAGGCCGCCAATCATCCCTTCCTCTGTCATGGCTCGGATGCAACAGGGAGAGACGACCAAGACGCAACGGAAGCTGCAAAAGGAGATCCAAGAAGAGTGTGGAGGAGCTGGAGTGTACTCGATGGACTACCGAGAGCAGTACCTCGGGCTCAAGAAGGAAGACTGGAAGTTTGACATCATCCCGGAGATCATGGACGGGAAGAACATCGCTGACTTCGTTGACCCCGACATCGAGCGCATGCTTGAGGAACTCGAGCGCGAGGAGGAGGAGAGGGAAGCTCGCGGAGAGTACGATGAAGATCCTGACGCGCTGGATGACGGGCTGACGGAGGTAAGGAAGACGATGCGAGTGAGGGAGGAGCTTGACGATGATGAACAGGTTGAGCGTGAGCAGCTGGATGCGGCGAGGAGGAAGAAAGCAACGCTGAGGCACGAGAGCATGATGGCCAGGTCGAGAAACCATCCCACCATGCCCAGGACTGTCGCAGCGAACAGACGAGGAGACTTGTCGGCTCGCGGTCGCTCCATGGACGAGCATCTCGAAGAGCTCGGTTACGACGAGGACATTGTGAGTCTGCAGTTGTGATGGCGGATGTGCTGACGATGACACAACAGGGGGCGAGGAAGAGAGCGCGTTCCATGTCGGAGGCAAGAGGCAGGAGCAGAACCAGGAAGGAGCGCATGGACGTTGAGGAGGGAGAGGAGGGAGAAGCTATGGACGTGGACGGTGAGCGTGCAGCGAAGAAGATGAGAATGGCAAGCCGGAGCAGAAGCCAGAGCGTTCCAAGGGATGTTGCCGGTCATGCGTACAAGGACAAGACGCAGCAAGAGAAGGCAAAGAAGGTAAGAGCGAGGAGGCGTGCTCCTCGCCTTGCTGACGCTCAGATGCTCTCAGATTACCAAGAAGGTGGTCAAGAGCGCGATGAAGGTGAAGGGCAAGGGGACGGCAAGGAAAGGAGAGGCCGACCGACATGTCCCCAACTTCAAGCCCAAACATCTCCTTACCGGCAAGCGCGGGATCGGCAAGACGGATCGGCGCTAAGAGCCTGTGGGACGAGCGAGAAGCTCGAGAGAGAAGAAGAGAGAAGTCGTCGGAGATGCCAGTTCGAAAGTGTCTCTCTGTTTGTGTATCCTCACTTAGTGAAGAACTTTTCAAATCCAGCTCTCCTCTTGCGTCCTTGTCCCTCTCCCTCCCTCCTGCTTCTCCTCTCCCTGAAACTTCATACGACATCCTCCAGGCTCTCCCATCCCCGTGGACCTCCAGACTGACAACCGACCCGCTCTGCTTCACTTCTCCTGCTGCGCAGCCAGTCACTCGCGCGTTCAGCAATCTCAACACGCACCTTCGAGTCCAGTTGGACGTACCGATCCCACGAGTACCTGCACACTCCAATGAGAAGATGCGAGAGAGAAGCAGAGGGGTACATGGCAGATCCTAGGAGAGTGAGGAAGATGCCCAGGACGTTGACGCCCGTGACTTTGTTCCGGTAGAAGGCGATTCCAAGAGCTGCTTGCAAGGCGCTCTTTGCACAACTTGAAATGTGAGTTGTCAACGGGGATCCGTGCCTGCAGCAGGTTGAAAGGAGAACAACTTGGGACTGGGCTCACTTGATCAAGGCAAAGTACGCAAGGTTGATGAGGAATCCAAACAAGGCCGAGGCCGTCATGATGGCCCAGAAAGAGCGCTGGTAGAAGTGCTCGTTCTTGACCGCGTTGCTATACTCTCCTGACACGATCACGAGCGGCGCCGTCATGATCGTCGCCAAGATCGTCGTGTAGTGCATCAAGCGCCATGTTGAACCGTTCACAAGGTTGAGGACCTGGAGGGGGAGGGGGAGTCAGATCCGATCTAGCAGCATCAAAAAGTGGAAGGAGAACCTTCTTGACGTAAGTGGAGTAGAGGGCCATGAAAAGGGAAGCCAAGCATCCAGTGAACTAACAAAAACCTCGAGTCACAGCTCATCGTAGCACAAGGGGAAAGAGAAGTAGATGGCAAGCAAAGAAAATAGAAAGAGAGCTCACAAATCCTTCATAAGTGAAATTCAGCTCGCTGATGGATCCAAGGAAGAAACCCAACATCACTACAAGGCAGCAGCCCAGAGTTCGCATCCTCGGCAGGTAACCAAGAATCACAAAGCTCGAGAGGATGTTCAGCGGGATCACAAGTGAGCGCAAAATTTGATAGAAAGAAACGTCGACAAATCGAAGGCAGTAGTTGGTCATGGAAAGCATGCCGACGTACAGGAATGTCACCGGTACCACCTGGACCGCTATTGACATGTCGAATTCAGGCGGCGGGGCAAACGAGAATGTCTTGTCCCACAAGCCTGCCGTCCCAATGATCCACAGGAGAATCCATGTGATGATGAGCTGAAAGTTGGTCACGAACAAAGGGAAGTGAAACTGTCGGAAGATCGACTTATTCATGAAGGTAAGGGACAGGGAGGTTGCGAAGTAGAATAGCACAGCTAGCAAGACTTTGTGCGTTCTCGTCAAGCTTCCACTCGAAGTGTGCATCCAACTCCATGATCCGCTCCTTGTGCTGCACGAACGATCGATATGAGCAATACGATGAGGTACCCTGCCTCGCCCCCCAGACAGACGGGAAAGGGGCGGAATCGATTGAGGAATCCTAGGGGGCGATGGAAGAGCATCAACCGCGCAGGTAAGGAATGAAAGAGCCATGGCAGTCAAAAATGATGACAAGGTGAGCTGAAGAACACTCGTCATTGGTCGGAGAAGCTTGCAGTCTCAATTCCGAACAGATGCGACCAATGAAGGGTGAGGGGATAAACTGTTCAGTACAGTGACGGATCAACGAATGAGACCCAAGTTTGTACGAGCATGTTCAAGAAACTGTACAAGAAACATCTGGGCGGGTTGAGATGCACGAGTAGCCGATCACAAGGCGCCTCATTCCTCCATTCTTTCCCCTCCATTCTCCATGCCCTCCTGCCATGTCTGGGGTGATCATCCACCCTACCCCCTCTTTGAGCTTGTTAAAATCCTTGACTACCCCTCATATTCACTTCGCTACCCCCATAGTTCCCCATAAAATCACCCTACCCGTCTCGTACCAATAGAACTTCACTCAACTCGAAGGCTCGCCTGGTCGAACTCAGTGAGAGTCGTAGCAACCCGGTCACTCAACCAGGGCCCCGGCCCCGGGCCCGCCGAGCCGGGATGGTCTGAGTGGGGATGAGGTTTATCTCTTCACAGTTTGCGAAGAGACGCGCGACCTTTGAGGAGCTGAAGGGTTTTACATAGGGGGTAGGGGTGAAAATATGAGGGGTAGTGGAAAATGAAGGGGTATTTAGTAGGGGTGGTTTTGATAGGCTTATTGGGTGTTCAATGGGATGATTTTCTAAAACATTGGTGGGTGAGAAGTGGTAGGGAGGGGGTAGGGGAGAGAGGGAGGGGGTGTGGGCTATATATACCGAGGTGGCAAAACGGTTCGCAAACAGAGACGGTCAGTACGATGAGAACATGAACACTGAAATGATATGATATCTCGCGGTTTTTCCTTGTTCTTCCGTTGATGAGATGAGAGAAAAGAGAGGGAGCATACATATTCCTTGTGTCCTGTTGTGTTTCGTACCTCATGTATTCCCCATGAAGAACATGAGAGCTCCTTTTTATGTTTACATCTGTCGATGTCATAGTTTGTGTCTGACAACATTAGCAGATGATCTGCAAGCTCTTTGACCTCGAGGACTACGCCGGTACCTACCGCGAGACCCGCAACGCCTACCTCAAGGCCGCCAACCAGCTCAAGCTCGCCACTGGCCCCTACAAGGCTGCCCGCGATGCCTACGTCGCTGCCACCGCCACCTACACCAAGTCCCTCTACGAGTAAATTGTCCTCCAGACAATGTCGAAGAGCAAGCAGGGGATATCGGCAGATTCGTTTTGCAATGAAACCTTTGTAAAATACTCCTGTACCATTGTTACACCCCGCCTGCCACACATGACATTTCAAGGTTTCACACGAATTTTGTTGCTTTGCACATTCGAGTTGGACTGAATGTTGTATCTTGAGTTCCGCTCCAGTGCGATGCGTGCACGTTGGCAAGCGAGTCTGGCGATCGACTGTTGGGTTGGAAGATACTCTATGAAGAGACTCATGAAATCTGCTCTTGTGGGGTTGCCATCGAACTCGGATTGTGCAGAATCTTTGTAGTTCACTGACGTCGGCTGCTTGGAGCCGACACAGTATTCCTTTCTTTGAAAATTTAAACCTCTGTGTCCACTGCTCGTCATTTTCACCTGTTGTAGTCGAACTCGTCCTGCTCTTCTGCTGAGCTGAACAGCGCTCCCCTGGATCTCAACTACATACTGATCACACCTGTCACTTCCTCTTGTTCTTCAAACTCCATTATCTCTCCTCGCCTTCTCTTCGTCTCCTGTCATCTTATCTACATTGCAAATCACGCGAATCACGTTCTGTTGCTAGTAGGCCACAAGCGTGGTGGTAGGCATCTGGACATATAGGGGGTGGTCAAAGGGTTTTAGGGGGGTGGGGGTAAAGGGATCGGGTGCATGCAAGGCAGGGGGGCAGGGGGCGGAGGGTGAGGGCCAGAGGAGGAGGAGGAGAGTATGTGAGTGACAGTTGAGATGAGAAGTGAGCTGTGGGATCAGCTTGTAGCTGAAGGAGGAGCAACATAGTCTGGCTGAAAGAGGGTTGGTGTGCACGGAATACTGATCAGCTATGACGAGGATCGTTCTAGAAGGGTTAACAGTCAGTCCATCACAACCTCTGCGTTCGCTCCTCCCCGTTTCATCGTCTCCCATACTTTTTCTTCTCTGCCTCCTGATGACTCTGCTTGCTCAGGTTCAAGTCAGCCCACCTCGGTCTCGAAGTCTGCATAATTGCCTGCTATACATGAGGGAAAGATGAACACAATGGCGCACGTAGCAAGGGCAAGGCTCGCGCGCGTGGGCGCCATGGCTGTATCTGGGCTGCTGAGGAGCGGAACTCGAAGAGCATTGAAGATCAGAGCTCCGACGCAAGTTGTGTGGGGCAGGAGCCATCGATGCGTGACTGGACTAGGAAGTGACATGTCGTGTGCTGTTGGCCATCGGAGCGTGAGTCGGAAGGAAGGAGCATGGCTATCAGGCGCTGCAGGAGAGATGGAGAACGTTCGAGAGGAGGACACTGCAGACATGAACGATCCGGAAAAGCCGGCGGGGGAGCCTAGTAAGAACAAGAGAAAGCTTTTCGTGAGGGGAATCCCTGCACATTGGAAGGAAGACGCAGTGAAGGAAACCTTTGACAAGTTCGGGGTTATCAAAGAAATAAAGATTGTTCGGCCAGAGAAAGGAGGAAGTCAGAACGCCTCAGGTCTGTTTGACGGCTGCTCTTTCATTCTGCAGTGAGGATTGTGAACAGGAGCTTGTTTCATTGTATATGACAACGAGGCGAGTGCAAAGCAAGCTGCTGCCGAGATGGAAGGGCAAACGATGATGAACAGCCCATCTGCTTTGAAAGTCAAGCTGCAATCATACGTCAATCAAGATGAGTCCAGCACGTCGCCAAAAAAGTTCTCCCTCTTCTGCACAGGGTGAGTTTCGATGGTCTCGCCTGCCCGCACTTCACAAAGTCTCAGCGTCTCTCCATGCAAGGACGCAAGTCCCTCACACGTCTCTGACCTCTGCATCCCCCATCAGGTTCAGGGAGAAGATTCGACCGAAGGATCTCCGAGGCCTCTTCCTGGAGCATGGATTGAAGGAGGTAAGGTTGCCCCTCACTCAACTGCTCTGATCGCTCCTATCCAGCAGGACATCAACGTTCAGATCATCAATGAAGACCATGCCATCAAGAGGAACAAGTGTCTGGCGGTGCTGAGCTTCGACACCATGGCGAGTGCGATATCAGCGATGAAGAAGCTCAACGGCAAGTACTTGAAAGCGAGCAAGCTCGAGCTCAACCCTAAGAACTTCGAATTGCCCGACGAGACTGTCGATCCTCCTCCCAAACCGAAAGCCGCAGCCTCTCCTCCACCGCCACCAGCAAAGGAAAACGGGAAGGCAACTAGCGCTAAGGAATCCGGCAAAGGCGCCAGCGCCTCACCGGCCGCTGCGGCGGTCCAGGCGTTCCCTCAGCCCAAAGTTTCAGGCAGACAGTCGAAGAAGGTCAAGTCAGATGATTCTAAGATAGTCGAGGTGAAGCCTGGCATGACGATCAAGGAACTGGCGGAGACGATGGGCATACGTGTGGTGGACGCACTCAAGTCGCTGATCAAGATGGGAGAGGAGCCCAAGACTATCCAGGATGAGCTGACCATTGACATCGCAGAGCTTCTCGTGCTCGAGTACGGCATGCACGTCAAACTCCCTGAAGGGTCTGAGTCCATGGTTCTCGGAAGGACGTTCACCAACGAGGAGTATCAGAAATTGGATCTCAGAGCCCCGGTGGTGACGATCATGGGACATGTGGACCATGGCAAAACAACGCTGCTGGACTACCTCCGTTCTACCTCAGTCGCAGCGGGCGAGGTTGGGGGGATCACGCAGAGTATCGCAGCGTTTGAGGTTCACCGACCGAAGTTGGGTAAGATCTGCTTCATCGACACTCCCGGGCATCAGGCTTTCTCGTCCATGCGCGAGCGAGGAGCCAAGGCAACGGACATCATCGTGCTTGTCATTGCTGCTGAGGACGGAGTGATGCCGCAGACCATCGAAGTCATCGATCATGCGCGAGCAGCCCAGGTTCCTATCATCATCGCCGTGAACAAGTGCGACCTCCCAGGCGCTGACCCCAACATGATCTACTCTCAGCTCATGGAGCACGGCGTCACTGTGGAGCCGTTTGGAGGAGACGTGCAGACGGTGAACATCTCGGCCCTCAGAGGCCAGGGGATCGACAAGCTGGAGGAGGCGATCCTCTTGCTGGCGGAGATGATGGACCTGCGGGCCCCGCGCGACGGGCCGGCTGAAGGATTCATCATCGAGTCAAGGAAAGACAAGGCGCTCGGCCCCGTCGCTTCCTGCGTCATCACCCTCGGGGCTCTGCGTGTCGGGGACGTGGTGGTAGCAGGAGCGGACTGGGGGAGGGTGAAGGTGCTCAGGGATGCGAAAGGAGAGTCGGTGAAGTTCGTCGGGCCCTCGTCTGTGGCGGAGGTCGTCGGGTTTCGGTCGCAGCCCTCGGCAGGGCAGGAGCTTTTCGTCGTCGAGAACGATTCCAAGGCGGAGTCTTACACGGAAAAGTTCGGGTCAAGAAAGGGGAGCATGAAGAGGATACAGAGCTCGAAGCAGGAGGAGCACCAAGGGGAGCTGATGGAGGTTCCCGTCATCGTCAAGGCTGACTGCGAAGGAACGCTTGAAGCCGTCATGGCCTCGCTCCTCGCGCTCCCCAGCCACGAGATCGTCCTCAAGATCATCGAGAGCGGGACAGGGCCGGTGACCGAGTCGGACGTGCAGTCGGCGAGTGCAAGCGGAGCTCACATCTACACCTTCAACTGCCGCCAACCGTCAGCCCAGCTGAAGAAGACGATCCAGAATCTTGAGGTGAAGGTTTCAGACTTCCGCATCATCTACGACCTCATCGACAACGTCACCAGCCTGCTGGTCTCCAAGCTGCCGCCCAGGGAGGAGCTGCAGGTGGTGGGAGAGGCTACCGTGCTGCAGAAGTTCGAGATCACCGGGAAGAACGCGACGGTGGTGGCAGGATCGAAGGTGACTAGGGGGATGGTGAAGTCCAAGTGCGATGTCAAGGTCATGAGGAAGGGCGAAGTGATCCACGAGGGGAAAGTCGAGACGCTGCGCAGGGGGAAGGAGACGGCGGATCAGATCATGGCGGGCAACGAGTGTGGCATCACACTGGAGTCGTTCACGGAGTTCGAGAAGGGAGACAAGATCCAGTTCTTCGAGATGGTGGTGACGGAGAGGAAGGAGCTCTAGTAGTCGCATGGCCCAACTTGTTGATTGCACGGTTACTGTACAAGACTTCTGGTCTCTCCCCAAGGGGGTTAAGGCTGCCTGTCGTCGCTCAGCAGCGGCTCCACGAGTGGGAGGAACGCTGGGACCTCGGGGTGGGGGAGCGCAGGGCCCGACAGTCCCTTCTCCTCCCCAGTCCCGTTCCAGCCTAGCGATCCGCCGCCCTCCCCCCATCCCACCTGGTGCGCCGCCGAGTCCTCCCGCACCTCGTGCTGCCCGAGGGGCGAGTAAGGCGCCTTGATAGAGTCGAGAGTCCACTCGAAGGGAGGATGGGAGTGAGCGAAGACGTCGGCATGTCCGTTGGCGATGGTGAGGTCAACCAGATCCTTCAGGAGGCTGTCCTCCTGCCCGCCCGAGTGCGCCTTGGCTGAGCTGAAATCGATCAGCAGCGCCTCTTGCTGGTGCAGGGGCACGTGCCCCTGCTCCTCCTGCTCCTCCTGCTCCTCCTGCTCCTTCTCGTCGTTGTTGCGTTCCTGATCTTGGCTCTCCTCAGGAGGTAATGTCTCCTGAGAGGAACCAGGTCCCGCGAGCATGTCCGCCGCTCTCCGCTGATCGTTGAGCTCCTGGAAGAACTTGGTCTGCAGAGAGCAGTCGTCATCCTCCTCCTCTTCCCGCCCCCCCGCCCCCTCTCCTCCCCTTCATCCCCGTCCACTCTCCCCCAACCTCCTCGCTCCTCCTCTCTCCCCAACATCCTCCTGCTCCACCTGCTTCTCCAACTCCTCCTCTGTCCAATCGAGCGACTGATTCGACTTCCCGTTGTGCACGTGCATGGCCCAGCGCGTGGCGGAGGGGCCAAACCATTCCTCCTTCCATGGCGTCTCGTCCCTCTCCACCTCCCCGCTCAGCTGCGGACGTATGAGGAAGTGAAGAGAGAGAAGGTGCAGTTGGGGGAAGAGCAGAAGAGGAGAAGGTAATGACGATGGGGGCGAGGAGGAGGAGGTAGAGGAGGAGGAGGAGGAGGAGGAGGAGGAGGAGGAGGAAAGGGTTTCTTCCACCTTATCGTGGTCTCCTGTGATGCGCGAGTTCGGATCAGGGAGGAGGCCAGCATCGATGAAAACCTTGATGAGCATGTGGTTGCCCTGCGATGAATGATGAGAGAAGAGAGGAAGGGAGGAGAGGTGCGACTTACCTTAATGTAACCTTTCTCATCTTTGAGATACATGGGCTATAGACAAGCATGAGGAACTGCCAGCGAGCTGGGGAGGAAGGGAACCAAGAGCGAGTGGGGGAATGGAGAGAGGAGGAAGAGGGAGACTGGGAGGGAAAGGAGGAAACTAGATGGGGTACCTTGTATACTGTTGTTTTCTGACGATTCGCCATCTCATTCAGCTCATCTCTCATAGAGTAAAAAAGCCCCCGCATTGACATCTTGCTTTTCTTCTCCTCCTCCTTGCTCCGCTTCTCCTCCTCCTTGTCTAGCTCCGGCTGTCGAAAGATGCCGCAGTCAGACAGTGAGGAGCATCGAAAAGGGGAAGGAAGAAGGAAGAGGGGAGGCGGTGATGATAAGGAGTGACTGACTTCGTTCAAGGACAAGAAGCTGCAGGAGTTGAGTGGTGGTGGTGGTGGTGGTGGTGGTGGTGGAGCAGCAGCAGCAGCAGCAGCAGCAGCAGCAGCAGAAGAAGGGCTGACCCGATCTCCAAATGAATCGTCGAAGGAGCCTTTTCCACTGGGCCCGTGAATGCTGAAGATTGAAAGCTCGAAAGGGTCATCAGCAAACTCCTGGTCCATGAAAGAAGCCTGACAAGCCAGTTAGCAATCGCGTCTCTCTCCATCCTGCCTCCTGGTTTGTCCAAGTCTTCCTCCCCCTTCATCATCCACGTCCTCTTCATCCTCTGGCTCTTCCTCCTCCTCCTCTTCCTCCTCCCCCCCCCCTCCCCCCACCTCTCCCCTTAGCTCATCACGTGGAGTACCTGAGTGCGCTTGCGGACCAGCACCTCGTACATCTGCGATCGTTCGAACTCTGCCAGGAACTTGGCAATGTTCTTGCGATGAGATCGCGTGAACGCTTCCTTGTCAAACGTTGACACCCCGTCCTTGTGCTGCCGGACCTCTCAGGGTTTCGGAATCGTTGGAGAGTCAACAAACCTTGACGTATCTGCGGTAACTGCTGAAGACGCACAAGAAGAAATCAAGAAACACGCTCGAGATCTGCAGACATGTGTCAGAGCAACTCATGCTCGAACATTTCTGCCATCCGCCCTCGCCCTGCCCTCTCTCCTCCCTACCCCTCCCCTTCTCCATCTCCTCGAGCCTCACCGGTGCCCAGTCAGCATCCTTCCCGCTCATGTTGGACACGCACTTGGCAAGCGCGTTGACCATGGCGTCAAAGTGCTCATCAGGAAGGTGCTGGATGTCTTTCTCGTTGTAGCGAAGCCTTCCCTTGTCGAGGTCCACCATCACCACCTGGAGGCCTCGTCATTTCCCTTCTCAGCAGGCTCAAGAGATCTCACCTCTTCCATGGGCATCCCCTTAAGCTTCGGCAGCATCGAGATATGCATGCCGATGATGAAAGGCATCGGAGCACAGACGTAATCCAACATCTTGGGGACTAAAATAGGAACGTAGATGTGCTGGAAATCTCGTTCAGAATACCACCCATTCTTCCTTCCTCTCCTCTCCCTTCCTCTCCTCTACCTTCCCTTCCTCTCTTCTCCCTTCCTCTCCTCCCTCTTCCTCCTCCACGTGTCACAAGCATCCTCCCAGCCGTCGGCTCACCTGCCATTCGAAGGGATACAAGAGCGAAGTCAGCGCGTGCGCGCAGTCCGAGAGGGTCGAGGGGCTGTTAGACAGGAGGATGATACGGCGCTCGGTCAACATCTGACCCGACAGTCAAGTTCAACCCTCTCGCGTTCGCACCTTCTCACCAGGAAGAAGAGCATGACGACCTTGGAGATCGGCATGTTCTTGAACAGCGCGCACAGCCGATGGTCGTACCGGCAAGACGACGTATTGATGGGCCGCTCGATCACCAGCTCCGGTATGGTTGGGTGGATCCCATCCAGCAACACCCGGACTGTGTGTCCTGGTGCCGGCATCCCAACCTCCTGAGACAGGTTCAGCCCGCAATCCTAGCACAGCAACTCATTCACTGCCACCTGAATCTTCTTCATAAGGGCGGCGACACCGTATACCCCCTTGCAGCCAAGAGCGATCTCCTCCGCAGCCGACAACATGTTGCAGAAGACCTTGTACCACGGGTTTCGGGTCAGGATGCAGGCAACCTCAGGCCCTGCTGGGGTGGAGTAGCGACGGCAGAAGCCATAGAGACGGTTGGAGTCGGAATCGGTCAACACAAAGGAGAAAGTTTCGCCAGCCTCCTTTGAATCATTCCTGGAGGCGAAGGGTCAGAGGGCAGGTGAGGGATCAGTCTCTGACCCTCACCCCTTGTGATTCTTGAGCTTCTGCGGGTCCGGGAAGGAGAAGTCAGGGACTGGCTTGTACTGTAGCACGTTGGCGTTCTCCGGCGCGTAGCAGAACATCATGACGGGCATGAGGTTACCATCGCTCAAGGCTGTTGATGCAGAAACTATGAAGGCCTCAAACAGCCTCCCATTCTGAGATGTACACACGAAGAGTGTCAGCCGAAGGCAGAGTGAAGGAAGGAATGATCATGATTACGACGAATGCAGTTGTGTCTACATGTGCCGAACAAGTTGGGGAACAAGTTGCAGGAGGAAAGAAGCTCATCCAAGATGTGAGGTGATAGAGTGTCTTATCATCATGCGAAGATGGATAGACTTGAAGGAGGTCACAACAAGAGCGGAAATCGAGGAATGGTCGGGGTTGCGGCAGTTTGGCGGAAGAGAGAGTCGAGAGGAAGTTGGAAGGGAAAGGGAATACATGGGGGGGGGGCGGAGGAAGGAGGCAGCAGGAGTCAGCATGATTCAGAATGAGTTAGTAGAAGCATGAAGGAGGAGAAGGAGCAGGAGCAGGAGGAAGCCGCGCACACGCGAACCTGCGCCTTGAGCATTACGGAGCAGCCGGGGGAAGAGCTCAATGCGTATGAGGGGGATGAGGTGCGTGGTTGTGATCAGAGGTGGTAGGGGTAGACTGAGAGATCAAGGTGTGGGTAGTCTAATAGGAAATTCATGGATTTAGGTGGGTAGGGGGTCATGGAATCAAATTGAAAGATGTACCAGGGGGTGGGTGACCTCTTGGCAGGATTGTAGGGGTGGGGGTAGAATTGATTGTACCATGACAAGGGTGGTCCAAAATAAAAAAGGGCCCACTATTCAAAGTACCCCCTTAAATAGGGGGTACTTTAAAGTAAAAAAGGGGGTATTACTTCGGCTACAGTGGAAAATTGGGGTGGTTGTAGATCGGAAGGGAAAAGGGGGTGGTCATGTCTCCCCAGCAGTTCAAAAGGAAGCGACTCTCCCCCCAGGTCCTGGCTCCTTCCGTTCCCTTGCTGCTTCCCTTCCTGCCCTGCCCTCCGTCCCTCCCTCCTCGCCTCCCCTCCCTCCCACTGCCTCTCCCCTGCCCTGTCCATTTTCTTCCGCGCTCTTGTGCTCTTTGACTTGCTGACTTCGCTCGTAAACGGTTCCTCGTGCTCCGCAGTTCGTTTTTGCTCCATCGATGTACGTTTCTTGACCCAGCGGCGAAGTCATTTATTTGATATTTGTTCTACTTCACTCGGTGTCCATCTCGTTATTCAATCACCCCTTCTTCTTCCTTTTCTTCATTCTTTGATTCTTTTATTTCCTGCTTCACCTTCGAAAGGCCTCTACGTCCCTTTCTTCCACTGCAATATCTTGCCACCGTCAAGCTAGCACAGACAACCTTCACAACCGCAACATGACAAGCGAGCCTGTGGCTGGCCCCAGAATGCGTGCAAGCACACCCTATCTTCTTCTCCTCCTCCTTGTGGGAGTGGTATCATCAACCACCATCACTTACTGCATCTCCGACTCGTGCTCCTCGTGTGTTGAAGACTCCAGAATGATCGCAGGCCAGCATAGTAGTGCGACAGACAGAGCCTGTGCATCAGTGTCGCATCTTCGAGGAGGAGGAAGCTTGAGCAGCAGCATGATGTCTAGCGTTGCCTTCCTCTTCGGGCCCCGGCCACCCGAGCGGCTCGCAGCGAACAAGTGCCCGAGCAAGGAGAAGCAGAACACTTGTAACCGAAGGATCCGAGATCAGAAGCTGCGGCTGCCCTTTTGGTTGTCCTGGCTCTTCCGCCCCGGATCACGGCAGACGGAGAACTTCCCGGAGCCGGCAGCGGCAGTGATGCTCCAGGGTTTCGATTGGGACCTCCTCTCAACGAGGAACGAGGTAAGCGCCAAGTGCTGGCAGTGTCGGAAGTCTCTTGCCTGACTTGTTGCCTCTCAGCTGTACAAGCTGCTGCACAAGAACATCCCTTCCTTAGCTGCTGCCGGTTTCAACGTCATCTGGTACCCCCCACCCTCTGCTAGCGCGGACTCGCAGGGGTATCTACCAGGACGATGGTACGAGATCCCTCACAAGAAAGAGCTTCAACGAGCGATCGAGCAAGGAGAGAAGTTCGGCATCGTCAGGTTGTGAACCTTGACAGGCTCCGGCTGGGCACTGACGGCGTGGTAGCATGGTCGACGTCGTGCTCAACCATCGGACTGGCAGCAAGATCAGCAATCAGGTGCGGCGGCGGGGATGAAGTGTGGTATGTTGACTCGTGATACGTCAAAGACTTTCGACTGGACGCGTTTCGAGCAGCCCGACTGGGAGGAGTGAGCGGGACTGCCGCTTGTCGCTTCTCTGACCAGCTGCAGGTGGGCCATCGTACAGAACGACTGGAAGTGTCCTCCTGAGGAGCACCTGAAGTACTGCCCTGAGAACTGCACGTGCGGAGGGCTAGACACTGGGTACACACAGCCCGATCAAAATCGCTTCCCCTTATTGCTGCGATGCAGAGAGAACGCTTGCTTCGCCCCTGACATCGACCATACGTCCCCGAGGGTGCAGGTAGCAACTGACCGCCGGCTGTCCCCCCGACGTGTCTGACATGCTGGGAAACGAGGCTGACATCGAGGCCTGGCTATCCTGGCTGCAAGAAGCCATCGGCTTCCATGCTTTCAGGTTCGACAACACCAAAGGTGCTCCTGGAGGCTTCTTCTCTCTCCTCACCCCCCCCCTTTCCCCCAACATTCTTTGCCCAGCTGAGCCCCACCTTCAGGATACTCCGGGAAGTTTGTGGCCAAGTACATCGACTCTGCCCAACCCTACATGAGCGTCGGGGAGTTCTTTGACACTAACAGGTACCCCGGAATCAGGGAGACGTCCCTTCAGTCGGCTGATGGGAAATGACAGGGACCTCCTGGAGTCTTGGATCAAGGAGAGCGAGGGGAAGGCGGTAAGACGTCTTGTCTTCGTTCCTGACAAGTTCTGATGGGTTGTTCCACAGAAAACGTTTGACTTTGGGTGATTGACAGCAACTTACGTTGTCATCTCTTCACTAAATGTTTCACAGACTTCGTTACAAGCTCAAAGATGCTATCCACCAGGTGCTCCCAGTTTGGCCTTGCAATGGCGAGCAGACTCAGTTGGTGTTCAGGACGACTATTCTCACATCATGGACACCTTCTTTGGTCCCATGATATGGTCTCAATCACAGGCTCTTCTCGCAATCATTGATGAAACCTCCGCAGGTACGCTACAGACAGCTCAGTCTCGTTCCTGGACAACCATGACACCGCCGGGTTGCTCAAGGATCGTTTCGGTCAGTCAATCGTTGAGTCTGTCAATGAGAAAGCATCTCCAACTCACCTGCCTCCTCCATGTTTTGCAGGGACCGACGATCAGATCGCCATGGGCTATGTCTTCATTCTCACCCACCCTGGCGTCCCCTGCGTGTTCTGGCAGGTCTGCAGCTCCATTCCTCTGCTCTGCCATGACGACCTGAGCACAGGATTGGTTTGGAAGCAACCAGCGCACGATCCGCGACCTTATCGCTCTCAGGCAGAGGGCCGGTATCACCGCGCACAGCAGCTGGAAGGTAGCTCTCAGGAGCAGCCGTTGCCTGCGTCCTAATCTAGTGGCAGGTGGAGGCTGCGACCAAGGGACTGTACGCAGGATACGTTGGTGACAGGTCTGCCCCTCCTCCTCCTCCTCCTCCTCCTCCTCCTCCTCCTCCTCCTCCTCCTCCTCTAACGTCTCACCCCTTCAACCTCAGTCTAGCTGTCAAGCTTGGGGGTGGGGAGTGGAGCCCTAACACAGGGAAAGCCACAAGAGAATGGGAGCGAGGAGCGTCGGGGAAGAACTGGTGCTGCTTGCTGCCCCATCCCCCCGCTGCCCGTCCTGACTCAGCAGCTTCTACAGGTGTGTGTGGATCAGGTCAAGCTCGAACGACAAGGACAAGTTGCAGCCACTCGGTGCCCCTCCCTCTTTTCCATGACGCCGGCCCTTCCCTCCTCCCTTGTGCTCCTCCTGACTCTCTTCTTGCAGATGGACAACGATTCGTCGTGTGAGCTCCCGGCTGACCTCAGTTCGTCTCCCTCCTTCCTTCTCCCGGCTGACCTCAGTTCGTCTCCCTCCTTCCTTCTCCCTGCTACCCCGGGGAGTCTCGTGTAACATTTCAAGTATCTTCCTCAACTCTCATAAACTGCCGGACATACCACCACGTTACAAGTCATCGACACTGCAGCAGCCCCGCGGACTCACTGAGTCAGTAATGAACTTCCGTACTCAGTAAGGTAGTACTACGGTATGCCGCGCCTACCGGGCCCCCCGTAATCCCGGCTTAGCCACTGAGGCCGCTACCAGCCTTCCGACTCGGACGGCATCCGGCGCGGCCTCAGTCACTGACGGTGCAGCCGCCCAGCGCGGCGATTCGGTCGGCCCGGGCCCGGGGCGCAGCCTATCCGGTGCCACCCTCAGTTATGTGCATGTGACAACTGGCAAGTTTTCTCGAAGTGACAAAATCCCGGCCGGCCCGCCCCGGCGCTGCTGTCCGAGCATCAGAGTACGAAAAGTTCCATCGGAATGCTCAAGATATTTTAGTTAACTCTTTATCAGTACCGTGATGAAGGGGTAGGGTAGTCCTGTGATGGCACTTGATAGAATCTCATGAGGGGTAGGGTGATAAGAGAGGGGGGTGAAGGATGACGGGGGTCACCATGGTGGGGTACATTCTAGGACTCCTGTCAATTGTTTGACAGGTTGAAAGGAAAATTCCCTCAAAGAACTCTACAGGTAGGGGGTGGGGGTACGATAGGGTGGACGACCACAACGCAGAAGGGGTGCCGAAGATATTGGGGTAGGGTGAAGCTCGTCAAGGGTAGGGTCAGGGTCTGTCAAAAAGCGGTAGTGCACGGGGATATTCGAGGGATGTGGGTACCCACCCTAGGAATGTCTAATAAGTGGGGTGGGGGGTGTAATTCGGGGGTAGGTACAAAGGAAAGGGGTACAAATAGAGGACTATGAGGGGGTAGGGGGCATCGTAAGGATCCCATGAGGGGGGGTCCAAAAGGACCGGAAATAGCAACCAAGGAGGGGATGGCCCGCGCTTGGGTATTGGAGGATCGAAATGGGGTAAGGATTCCAAGTAGGAGGGTAGGGCCTGATAGCCTAATATCAGACTAGAGAAATCGATGAGGTAGAGGATCGGGGAGGGGGATAAGAACGGTCTGCATTTTTTTTTGCCTCTATTTCGGGAGCAGAGGGTTTTTTAGCGGAGGAGGACGAAGAACCGAACAAAATGTTCCAGGTGACATGGCGGCATGAGGCTTGATGGGATGCTCGATGCGTGTTTGAGGGGGAGATATGGCTGGGAGAGGATGCTGGAAGTTGTGTTGGAAGTTGCGGGTGGTTGATTGACGGTGTCTCGGGCACGGACGAAATGAGTTTTGTTATGTTGAACGACGAAAGTGCGAGGGGTTGCTGTGTTGGTTCAGAGCTGATAGCTGCGGCGGAGTCACGAATCAAAGGGAGATTGTCTGGAGAGGAAAGTGGTCTAGATTGAAAGAGCAGAAATGTGTAGTGCGTATGAAAGTATCGAGTGTGTTTCAAGTTTGTACTTGCTAGTGATGGTGATTTTTCGTGGACGGTCTTGGTTGGTGAGGAACTTCCATTGTGTAGTGGTGGCAAGAGAGCAAGAATGCTTTGATATAGAAAGAATGTAAATCTTCGTGATGTCGATGATGTTTCGTGCTCTGTGTGCTTGTTGGAACTTCCAGCCTTCCGTAGGTCTGACTTGTGTGACAGGTCCTTGCCAAGGCTGTTGCCTCTTCTGTCGTCTCTGGAGTCGACACCGGATATGCTGGATCCAGCGGCTTGATGCCCCAGCAGTTCGTCTCCAACAACCAGCCATGCGGCTTCATCTGCTATGGCTTCGGTGAGTTCGACGGACAGGGCTCTGGCCACGACTTCTCCGGCAACGTAAGTGAAACTCTCTATCTTGTCTTCACTCTTCCGTTCCATAGTGCTCGTTTCTTTCTCCAACCTTGATCTTTTGCATTCTCTCGTGCTCGACTTTCTTACTGACTGTTTGTGCAGGACTGGCACCCCGCCTTCGGCTTCGTCAACAACTGCGACGGTGCCCGCTCCCACTCCTACTGCGATTACCGCCAGCAGTAAACCGATTTAAGACGTATGGGTGAAATTTTGTAAAGTGCAACTGCGAATTTTATCTCAAGTTCTTCACTCAGTGAACTATGTCTATGTGGACTCAAAACTCGCATCCTTTCACCATCGAATCTGCTGTTGTGACACTGTACATGAGGACGTGCTGATCGCAGCGATCACACATGAACCTTGAGCAACTGTGTGGCAGCGCACGGATTAGGAAGAGGACTTGTCTGCCTTCTTGCTGTGAGCAAACGTCCTAGCCTCCTTCACAAGCTCGATGAGCCGCTCTCGCGAGCACGTGGCTGTCGAAAGTGTCAGGGGCCATGTGGGAGCAGGAGGGAGGAAGACCTTTGAGGAAGGGATGCTCGAGGAGATCCGCGGAAGACGCTCCTGCGAAGAGGTCAGCGCCGTCAAGATTCACTTGCAGTCGCTCACGTTCAGAGGGTTCAGCAGCAAGAGTCTTCTCGTAGAAATCTTTGATATGCCTGTCGGGAGAATGAGCTCCCTCCTCTCTGCCTCTTCCTCATCCTCCTCTACTGCCGCTCCCTCCCTCTTGGTCCTCTTCATCCGCTTCCTTGTCCTCATTCCTCGCTATTCCTTTCCTCTTTCATCCTTCCCTCTCGCCTCCCTCCATTCCTCTGCTGTTTGTTTTCTCCTGTCTCCTCTCCCTCTCCATTTCCGCGTTGCATCTCACGCACTTCACCTCCTGCTCTATCCTCTACTTCGTCCTTACCTCCCCCACGACTTTGACTTGAGCTTAGGAGGGCCCTTGGTCGCTATGAGGTAGAGGGCGCGCAGGGGATCCTGCGAGGAAGTTGTAAGGAGGAGCGCAGGAGGGAGCTGGGAGACCTGACGGAGGTAAGGAGGTTCTCCTTCAGCCATTTCTGAGAGACGATCAATGAGGATGAGACAGGGACAAGGAGGAGACAAGAGAAGGGACGGGAACAAGAAAAGATGCAAGAGGAGGGGAGGAGAGGAGATAGGAGAGGAAACGAGAAGAGGAGAGGCGAGAATGGAAGGAGAGGAGAGGAGAGGGAAGGGGAGAGAGAAGAGGAGAGGAGAGGAGAGGAGAGGAGAGGAGAGGAGAGGAGAGAAGAGGGAGAAGGGAAGGAGAGGAGAGGAGAGGAGAGGGGAGA